TTTTTTTTTTTTTTTTTTTTTTTTTTTTTTTTTTTTAAGAAAAACAATTGCTGTATTCTTTTTTCTTTCACCTTCAGACACGCTAAAGTGCATTGAATACAGTCGCGAGAGGGAAACTAAACGACAAAAACAAAAACCATGAAATGTGCATACAGTTCTTGATTACTATATATATATATATATTTCCATAATTTTGCGCATTTTGTAGCATTAAAAAAAAAAAAAAACAAAAAAAAAACCACAAATGTGACTAATAAAATATCAGCGACTTTTTCTTCTTTGTTCTTTGTTTTTTGTTTTTTTTTTTTTTTCTCAACTTAAGGATATTTGTCACTGTTTACAACTAACTTACTTATCTAAACAATCTTTAGGTAATATTTAAAAAACAAAGCAAAAAAAAAAAAAAAACTTGAAAAATAATTTCGATTTAACTTTTTTGAAATTTTGTTATAATACGAATGAATGGAAAGTTTTAAACACAATTAAATTAAATCTCCAATTTATTTATTTACCTTTTTTTTTTTTTTTCTTTTTTTTATTAATGTGAAACAGTGTTTAATTTTTATTGATTTGCAGCTATCCTGATATCCGCATAAAGAATTTTTTTTTTTATAAGTTAAAAAGAAATAGAAAATAAAAAAAGAAGATAATCATACATCATAAAGTTTTTGTGAACATCATTTACTCTTCATTATTGCTATTGTTGTTAGTTTCCAGTTTTATTAAGTATTATTTAAAAAAAAAAAAAGAAATTTTATATATATATATATATATATATATATATGCATATATATATATGTACATAGATACATACATACACATGGGTAGATATATATACATATATATATATACATATATATATATATATATTAAAAAAATACATAAAATATTTTTTCCTTTTTAATATATATAAAAATTGCACGCTTTGAGCCGCAATTGCGTGTTGTGTGTATGTGTGTATGTGTATGTGCATATGTGTGTGTGTGTTTGTGTTTGTGTTATGTGCTAAAGCATTAGAAATGCGATAACGATCGTTCGGGTTTACGGGTATGACCGATTTGATTAACTTGTCAACAGCGCAATATTGATTTCTTTAACCATTTTCACACGATGTAACATTTTCTGTAATGCCTCTTTACTTAACGGTTGCGTTGAATACCATACAGGAGAGTCCGGCACACAAGACCTTTCCGGTTGCAAATAGAATACATCATTACGCGTTTTAACACTTTCAGGACTGCAAAAATTCACAAAATACATATACAATAAATTTTAAAATTTTATAAAGCAATTCTTCAAAATAATCAAGAGGCAAGTTATGCAACTTAAGAGCGGACCAACCTTTGCCATAACAAATTTTAGAAATTTCATCAATATAATTAATTAATTATATTATTATAATTAACATAGTCAGAGAAACAGGGAGAGTAGACATTTTAACGATGTTATTGAAAACTCTACGGCACTTGAGATTTGAACCCGCGACCTTTCAGTTATTATTAGTCAAAATCTTCTGTTTTTTAAATAAAGTTTTATATATAATTTGTCCCGAAATTTTTATTAATAAGATAGAATAATGAATTGATTGCTTAGCATATTGTTAATCTCGTATGTCAGATATATTTCAAATCATTAGCGTCGATGACAGATATTGTCTAAGGTAGATATAGATATCTAAATAAGTTTCTAAAGATTCCCAAGAGACGGCATACTATAGCATACCGCATAAAACTGTCTTTGTTCTAAGTTAAGATGCTATCGTTAACCCTTAAATGCTTAAAATTACCTTGAAAATTAAGTGGAATGTAGACAATTGGCAACAATACGTGCTTAAGAGTAAATCTTTACGCAACAGTATACGAAATTTCGAATGCTTAATCAAAGAAAAAAGTGCTGCTAAATTGCGACGGATAAGAAATAGTGGGGAAGTTACAATAACCGAAAGAAAAAAATAAACAGCCATTCATGGCAAAGTCGATCGTTCTCCCACTTGATGGCGATCAGCCGTCATCAGGTAACGATTCTTGCCACCGATTGAAGGAAGAAGGATCCGATCTGATCCGCTTAGAGGAAGAACGAAAGGACATGTGATTATTCATTTTATATATATATATGCATAATATACATTATACATGTATATATATATATATATATATATATATATACATATACAAAGTACACGTTATTGTCATTTGATTATATATATTTATGAATAAATACGGAAACGCCTTCAAAACGAACGCACCTGAAGAAGAATGATCCGTCTATCTATTATTATTACCGCATTTTTCGGACCGTAAGGCGTATGTTTTTACATAGAAAAGTGGACTCAAATTTTGGATAAGTCTTACGGTCCGAAGGCCACATTAAAATATTTTTTCAATAAATCGTCTCTAAATTTAAGGCACGAGAGGTACGACAATAATAGTTCATTTAAAGTAATACGAACGATGACCTTAGCGAGACGAGTACTAGTGCCAAGAGTGAATATGAACTGAATATTGCGACTACGAGTTATGTTAACAATAAATAAAAATTTTGATCCGAAAGTAACATTAATATATATTTTGTTAAAAATCTTCTTATAAATTTGTCGTACGTCTTATTCGTCCGGTGCACCTTATTGCGCGTATAACATGGTGCTTTTTTCTTGACGTCGACGAAAGTCTTTTAAAAAGAAGTGAGGAAAGGGAAATAGAGAAAGAAGTGCATGCGTCTACGGACTGAGCACTGCAACTACGACAGAACGATGTGAACTCTAGCGTATTGAGATTTGAAATCGTGAACATAGACTTGATAGACGCAATTACCTACTCGGCTACCCATGTGGACAATGTCTATTATGAGCTTCGGCCAATCAATCAAATGATTAGGCCTTACCATTATACTAATTAAAGTATACAAATGAACAAAAGTGAGCCGCATGGCCGAATAGAAGGGGATATGATATGCCTTTCATTTCGGTATCATAACGACTTTAATGTTTCAATCGAATAATATGGACGATGCACCTCCTTCTGATTGACGCTTGATTTTGTTTCTACTGGAAAACGTGTAACACTTCTTCAAAATAGGAGCAAGATTCAGATTAACTAGGGGATTAGATATACTTACCATTTTGATAAATAAAACTCATACAAGCGTACAGGACAACGCAAAGGATTATCTTCATTTTCTTGCTGTTCGTAGACCTTTTTCTTTCGGGGATTAGCTTCTACAAAAAAAAAAAAAAAAAAAGATTTGAAATAAAATTAATATTCAAAAATATTTTTCAATTATGAAGCATTCAGCATTGAGACGTACCAAGGCCAGCTTGTGGCGGGTAAAAACGCAAAAGCACATTACGATTACCAGGGGCTTTAGAATTTTGGGCGTTACGTTTCCAATGTTTCATTATATGCGAGAATGATAGCTGCATATGTTCCTCCACCGTCTGAAACAAAGTTCAAGAAGGAAGCCAAAATTTTCAATTGAAATATTGCTTTAAGACTTACTGTTAAATTAAAATGTTTTGTATTGAAAAACATAAGTGTACTCAGTAAAACATGAGGCGAATGCGCGCCCAGTTGCTTGCACTCCCAAAGATGTTCCTCTTCAACTCGCGTCACGATGTATTCTATATATTTGAAAAAAAAAAAAAAAAAAAAAGAAGAAGAAGAAGAAGAAAAAGATTGATTAATTGATTGTTTGATTGATATGAAAAGAGAAGAGGAAAAACTTACGCGAATCATTATATAAAACTGAAAATTTACGGGCCACCTCATCTAAACAATCGGTAAATTGTTCATAATAGGGATCGGTGAATATATTATCAATTCGTCCATTTTCATAAAGATATTGTTGGATACCTTTAAAAAAAAAAAAATTTTATTTATTTTATTGAATTATTAAAATGAATGAATTCGAATGGAAAAATACCTAGAACTAAATAGTATATTGTGTCAGGAGCGTATTCTGTGCCATTCGGTTTCCGGACTTCCTTTACAAACAAACACAAGGAGTAATTTAACTCGTCGGCCGTCATCTGCAGTAGTTCTGTTTTGAAAGTACGTCTTCTCATCGAGCTTTTCTCGATGTCGGCATTTTTCGTCATTACCCATTGCTTCCAGGCGTTCACCCCGAATGTATACTTCAGACACATATTGGCATCAGGTTTTTCAGCTGGTTGTATGGGTTGAGCAGCGGGCTGTGCAGTAGGTTCCATCTCTTGCAGACGTTGACGTTTAACTGGCGAACGGCTGTTACGTGGAGAAACCGGTGATGTCACAGAACCCCGTTTTCGACCTCGGCTACCTCTATTTTAATATGGAATTCAAAGTTTTTTTTTTTTTTTTTATTATTATTATCTTTTATATTATTTAATTATTAATAAAATTACAGATTTTTACCTTTGATCCATCATATGATGTTGCATATGATGACCGCTCATATGACTCATGGTATCATCATGTTGAACCATACCAGGTGGAGGATTGGTTATCGTATTAGCAGTCATAGCAGATTCCAAGTCAACAGTATGTGTTGGCTGATCATAATCACCCGTTGCCATTTTAAGAGCCATTTGCAAGACATCTTCACCATAGGAATTATTGGTGACATCTACTTGTTGTACACTATTATTATATTGTAATGAAACAACCGCTGGATCCGGTTTCACTTCGTCCTCCGAATCCGAATCGGATTCGCGTTTCTCTTCGGCGACCATTTCGGCCATCATTAATAATTCGGCTTCGAATGGATCGGCAGGCATCTTATCTTGAATTTTTTTAATTTCTTTCATTATACCCTGAGCGGAATTACGCGTAGTGGGTATAAATATAGGCACAGGTATTGGCAAAGGTATAGGGACTGGTACTGGAAACGGTGCAGAATACATATACATCGGTTGCGGTACATAAATTGGTACCGGTACCGGTATTAATACCTTATTCGAGTAATCCTTATCTGTTTGCGTGCCAACCGTTATTGTTTTCGGCTCACATTGAAAGCCTACTGTCATCGTTTGAGGTTTGCAACTGGTTTGTACATTACGTACAGCCGGCGGATATGGAGGTACTACGACAATTTTTGTCTCCGCCTTTTCTAGTACGGCCTTTTCCATCATATTATTGCTACGTTTATTAACTGTTCGAGGTGGTGACGGAGTCGGTGTACGATCAATAATTGTACTCTTGCGTGGACGCCCTCTTACCAATGCCGCGCTCATATTATTTGCCTGCAATGATGTTGGCGGCGGTGGCGGTGAATCCATTTTGCGGCTTCTTATTCTTGTCCGTCTCACCGTAACATTGCCAATCATTGTTTCCGTTTCACCGCTAGCTAATGATGAAACAGTTGATATAACTGGCATCGTCGGCCCCTTTTTATTATTTGCACCGGTTTTATTTGAAATTTTTAACTGTTTCATGGAGAAATTATGAAAATTATGAATAAAAAAAAAAAAAAATTATTTTTCAATTTTCATTCAAATTTTAGCGTTCGTTTTAAACTAAAATATATTCGAATTTTCATCGAAAAAGAGAAACGCACACACACACACAAATACACAGAGAGAAAGAGAGAGAGAGAAACGATTACAGATGGGTTGTACACGTATATCGTCATCAAAAAAATGCACTCAATCTATTACATTAAAACAACAATTGGGTAAAGTATTATTTTATTTTTTTTTTTTGACATTTTATTCAAACATAATCGAAAGAAAAAGAAAAAAAAAAATGTGCAAAAATTAATTAATTTCTGTTTACACAAAGGGGCGAGCGTAAAATTAAGCTTATAAGCGACTTATCTCTCAAAACAGAGTAAAATTTTTGTTATTTAAAAAAAATTTGAAAAGTTTTTCAAAAAAAAAAAAAAAAAAAAAAAGGTAGGCCAGGAAAACTTGAAAAGTGCTGGCGAAATGTTGCGAGAGAAAGAGAGAGAGTGAGAGAGAGAGAGCAAAAGAGAGAAAGAAAATTAGGCGGGCGAGAAGAAGAAGAAGTTAACTTCAACAATGCTTGATGTGTACTATACTTTGTCAAATTTCTTACATATGCGAACTATGCGAAGGTGCAATGTATTACAATACGATAGGCGAGCGATTTTTCGCTAGAGCAGTCGTAAGAACAATTTCTTTCTAACATACTTGTATGGAATTGGATACTAGTGGGTGACACTATTCCAGCAGTTAATTGATAAATTTGCAGTTCATATATAGAGATATTCTTAATTTTTTTTAATAAATTTAAAAATTTGATTATTGCTGGAATTGTTAACATAAAATTTCGTTTTACGTTTCGTACTTTAAAAATTGCGTCCATCTGAGAGTAAGCGTATATGTTTGTTTACAATTCTCAATAATTGAAAATGTGTTTGTTTATTAACAGTTGTCGCTTGTATAATAATTGCTTCCATCTGAGCGACCAGATTCCATAAATACGGTAAATAAACCCCGGCCAGATACGTGTTCTCCTCTCTTGCAAGAAAGCAATTTTTTTAATTTTGAAATTAGCGATATACGATACAAATTTATTGGCTTGGTCAATCTTATCTCAATATCCTAAAAAAAAATGAAAAAATTTGAAATCTCACTGTTTTTGGACGAGAAAAGTTTGAGACTTTGTTTATATTGCTGCGCAAAATTTCCTTCGCCTTGGCTTTACTTCACCTTTTCCACAGCGGTTAGGTTTGCATCACTGGATTATGGATGAATTGTGCAAAGGTTTGTTTACAAATTTAGAAGAATTATTTATTCCTGACTACTTTTATCAAAATTGGTGGAATTTCCTTTCAATTTAATTTTGATCTATTTGTGGTTCGTTTTTTGCATATTCCGCCTCCCCTTTGCCTATTTAACATAAACTTTGTGATGGACAGTAATTGGCTGACAATCACTACATCTGTTCCTCCCTTATCACGGAGAATGGCGTTAGCAATTTTTTTTGCAAACATCATCTATGCCTTTTTTTTTAACCACCACTGTAAGATGGGGGTATATTCATTTTGCTATTTCCAAAATATATGTAACACGCAAGAGGAAGATTCAGAGAGATCCTGTAACACATCTGCGTACTTGATCAGCTTGAAATTCTGGGTTGAATTAGCCATGTGTCTGTGCGGTGTTTATTGTTGGCACTCTCTTGGCCGCGAAAATGAAGCTAACGACTTCAAATTTGGTAGAAACATTGGAAGTTCTTGCATGCAATTTGGTATTGAAAGTAGCCCGAATTGGTCAGAGCAGAAGCAGTGGAACTGAACGTAGCTCCGTTTTTTCCAATAAAAATTTGGAGGTTTTTTCCCGTTACTGGGAAATTGTAAAGGTTAAAAGACGGATAATTTCCCCATTTACTTTATGAAACCCACTACTCTTTACGTCCAAATATGGAACAAATTGGTCAAGGCCACGCAAAAAATAATACAAGTGATTAATCATCTTATAAATTTGAGGTGCGTCTTATCGTCCGGTGTAGCTTATAGCGCGAATAATACGGTAGATGATGTGTTAGCCTATTGACTGTCACCTATGGTCATAGATCACTTTCTTAAATTGCAAAAAAAGGAAAGTTTTTTTCGTTCGCCTATTTTACAGAATTCTTTCGAATGGACATATAAGCCATCATTATTGACTTAGTCAAATTAACCTCAACAATAAAAACAATAAAGCAAGATACGGGGGCCGTATCTCGCATACCCAGTACTACGTTTTTTGCATTCTAATCTCCAAGTCCTCATATCGCTGGTATTATTACGAAAAAATTAATCGCGGTATCTGCGATATTCATTTTAAAATTAACCCATTTTTATGGAGACAATATATCTTCATTTGAGGAGTGAGTGTACAAAATAGTTTTAAACATTCGGTCTTGTTTGCCTTATGATAAATTAAGCATAAAACTTCAATAAAGTGAAACAAATAAAATTTAATTATTTGTAACTTTGTGTGGGCATGGCCGATTGGTTCCATTTTTGGACCTAAAGAGTAGTGTGTTTAGTAACATAAATGTGGAAATTTTCAGCCTTCTAACATAAATAATTTCCAAGTAACGAGCAAAAATCCAAAAATATTTATTAAAACGTAGGAGTTGCGTTGAGTTTACGTTACACTGCGCGCGCTTCTTCTCCGACCAATTTGGCCCACTTTCAATACCAACATGCGTGCAAGATGTTTCAATGTTTCTACCAAATTTGAAATCGATATCTTCATTTTTACGACCAAAAGATTGCCAACAACAAAGACCACATAGCCATACAGACGGACAAACACGGCTTAATCAATTCAGATATATATTTTATAAGTTTTCTGAAGCTTCCTTTTGGGTATTACATACATTATGGAAAAAAACAAAATGAGTATACCTCCATCGTACAGTGGTGGGCATAAAAAATGTATGGAATTTCGTAAGGCTTTATTCCACATTTCTACCGTCGAGGGCTAATTCGCGAAAATTCTTTGCTTATGAAGGCAAGGCGCATTTTTATTAATTTTCCAAGATTGTGTCTATTATTTTCCTAATTATCCCTTATTCGACTCGACCAGTTCGAGTATATTTTTTCCTTATGAGCCGGCTTTCAAGCCGGTCGTGATTTTGTTGTATTCCTTTGGTTCAACATGCAATGGGGATTTATTATTAGAAAGCTTTGTTCAATCACCAGTTGCATAACGCGCCTTTATGACGCTGGCTGGTAATATATAGAAACCCATATTTTACTTTCATTACTTGTGTCAAAAATTTTGGAAATTAAGAGAAAGAGAGAGAAATCAACATAAGGTTACTTTTATGTTTCTATTTTAAGGAAATCTTCTTGAATCGAAATTTAATACAATGTGATGCAACAATGGGTTTCTTAAAATATACGTAGAAATTGAAATTTTAATTTGCCTTAATCGAAGGGAAAGTAAACCGTTTTTACACTCTACACCACTTGCGGTATACTAAATTAATGCGGACGTGTGTAACATCCACAGGGACTTAAGATAGACCCACTTTTTATTATACCGATCAATTCAGAAAATGATTCTGAAAATGATTCTGAATCGGTCTAATCCTGTCTGTGCGTCAGTCCATGTAAATGTACGTTTAATCGATAGGTCGCAGCTATTGAGATATTTTGATAAGATTTGATACACTGACTATTAAAAATGGCCCGAATCGATAGGGCGTTAGACCTATTCTGAAAAGCCGTTATAAAAAAAAAATTTGCAATTTTCAAAATTTCTCTACAAAGTTGCCTAAGTAATTTCTACATTCCAAATTGGCGCGGAAATTTTGAACAGGTGGGAACAACTTTTTTAACCCTGTCTCATATAACCGATCCTACGAAAGACGAATCCGTATATGGTGAAAAGATCTAATTTTCAATATCTCATGATGAAAATTGCTTTATAACAATAAAATGGCAAAGAAATCAGCCCTACCGAATCCGGAATATCTAAGTCTATTTTTTGGATACCACGGCATATAAGAATTCTTTTGAAACATAAACCTCTATATACCAAATAGAGGCTAATTGTTAATTTTTTGTGATGAAACCTTGTTCATGATAGTAATTTAATATAAAAATTGAGTGAACTTAATTTGAACCACATTTGTCTATTTCTTGGCCCCGCTCCATATAAGCTAAAAGAAAATAGATTGCATTTTTAAATTAATTAAAAATACATTAGTCAATTACTCCGTAAGAAAGAAAATCACGCGAATTTCATCAAATTATCAGACATTCTTGCTAAGAAACTACGTCTCAGGGGGTTGTCTCTATCGACCTGATAATGCCGTCAATATTCAAAGCAATGCTAAAGAGAGCCCTGAAATGCTAACAGCGGCATCGGGAGGGGATTTCGTAGAATAGTATAATCCGGACCGTTGAACAAGTGGCCCCGCATGGATCTTCACAGTTAGCGACTCTTAAAAGACCGTAAAATTGATTTCTTCCCAAGTATAAGCTTAATTGCATCGATCGATCTTAGGTGCGATGATTAATCACAAGCAGTAGCAAGTTTAGATAAATGGAGTTTACTTCTTCTTCTCTTGATTTTAAGTTAAATCCAATGAATCTTCTTAGTATACCCTATATTATCTATGAGTTAAGAATCTGTTAAGTTTGTAGCAAGGCTTGACCTTGACTTTTACTATACTTTTACTTTTAATCGGATAACAACTCCTATGGTCGTGGGTTCAAATCTCAAGCGTGGTAAAGTTTTTAAGACTTTAAAACTTGAATTTATTTAATAATAATAATGGAAACTCAATGCAGAATCATATTTTTAATAAGCTTAAGTTTATCTGCCCGTCTGTCTGTCTGTCTGATGTGTGGAATATACAAGTTGTAATATTCAAAATTATTCAATTGATTTATTTTGTCTCCAGGATCAACACAATCGAGAATAGATCGAATTGCTTACACCTAACATCTTGTTTTAAAAAGATCGTTCCATGAAAATCGTCTATCGTTCTTTAATCTTTCTTGTCAAAAATAGTCTTCTATTTCAATCATTTTTAAAATTTGTACACAGCGGAACTATTTTTATTTTTATATTCCCACTTAAATATCACTCCTTAGCCGGCTTAATATTCAAATAGGATCGTCAATAATTGTTTAGTGATATTTAGATAACTCTTGTAAAAGACGCGATCGTTTTTGACTGTCGCTATAACTCGATATTCCTTGTACCAATTCTGGAAAACGAAAGATTTCAAAAACCAAGAATATTTCTTCTTTCGGGATATATTTAACAGGCAGAATATACCTATCAAAATCCATATCTCATATATCCTATGCAAAAACAGTCAACTTGAAACTATGCTGGCCAGCGAGCCAAGTAAAAGCGCTCAATTTATGACTTATTTCCTGTCACAATTTCTGTGATTCTAAGCGTTACAACAAAGCACGGAGTATACCCGGACGATGCGGAATCTTAACTTCTGATCAATATGTACCTTAGGAGGTCTTTGACATGCAATTTGAGGCGTCACAAAAGAAAGTACAAATCTATCAGACTTTTCTAACTCAGATAGTGGAAAAAGATAGATGCGTCGCTCTAGAATGTTATGCCAATCATGAATATATGATATATTCCTAGAGCCTATAGCTCGTGGAACAACTTTCCGTTTCACTTTATGAGAAGTATTAGCGGATGTCGCTTGCCGGACAGAATTGGCATTTTATCCGCAAAAGTGATTCCCGTCATATCAGCTACGATATATATCTGAGATCTTTCACAAAGGATGTTAATCTATGGTCGGAGCAATAGGACTCAATCCTAAGTACCTCATCAAGTGGTGTAGCGTATAAAAATGGTAAAAAAGAAAAAATTCTTTTTGATATCTTAAATTCGCACTATTCAAAATTTGGTTTGAAGAAGTTTCGCGCGAAAAAATGGTGCATATGTTGTTGTTACTTACTTGTGGCTGTTGATTAACTTTCAATTTAACTCGTTTCGGTAAACCAGTGGGAAAGGGTGCGGCATTTTTGGCGCTTTTCTGCGCTGATTGTTGCGTTTGCTGATTGGCGACGGAAGCCGATTGTGCTTCGTTTTCTAAGGTGAGAGGTGCTCGAGCAAATTGACTCTGAAATTGCATAACACAAGTATAATTGCAAAAATTACGCATGGAAGCATCCGACATCGTCAGATGATATTGAGGAGTCGCCATTGTACTGCAATTATCGCATTTAGTTACGGTACGTGAAAAAGCATTTATCGAAACTCCGTACAATGTTAAGCAATTTAATGAGCACATAATGATATCCTGATTATCTTGATGCTTGACAATCATATCGAAATTATATTTTTTCACTTTGCACCATTGACACGAGACAATGTGACGATTGACAACAATGTATACGTTAAGACAGATGCGCGAGCAGAAGACTTTAGCACGTTTCTCCGCATAAATGGTGAAGGATTCGTTGGCTTTGCGTTCAAAATATTTACAACACATGCCGCATTGATCGGGTACAATTTTGCTAACAAATTTGAAGGCCGAAAAACATGGATTGGAACAGAAGGTGAGCTCTTTCTCATCTAATATGATTTCAACACGTACGGGTTTATCGGTATTGCAGACAACGCATATATCATTTCGTAATTTCTTTTTTGGATTCGCCATATTATCGTAACGACGCATGCAGGCTTGCGAACAAAAATCTTTAAATTGCTCTTTATCGCCTACTGGGGCTAAAAATCCTTCATTCGCTCCCGATATATCTTTTTGACAGCAAGAGCAAGTTTTCAAGCCCTTCTTGAATTCGTTTAAACAAGCCGCACAACAAAACTGCCGAATATCAAAACCGAAACGCACACAATATTTCCCTAAAGCGTTATGTGGCACCTCACCTTGACACGTCTGACAGCTAGCTCCGATAGTTCGTTGATATTTGCCTAAACATATTTCATTGCAAAAATCCATAGTTTCCCATATGAGGTTTCTATCTCCCATTATGATTTCTTCGAAGCAATCGGAACACCTTCGTACGAAGCTGGCGCTTCGTTCCGCTCGGGCCGTTTCAACTTCTTCGCTTGAACGCGTCACAACCCGAGATTCAGATGTGCTCTCTTTCGCTACATCTCCTGAAATCGTTGTCGCACCAATATTGCGCACACGTATCGAATGGCGTTTCAATTTAAATTTATCAGGTTCCTCGGCATTTAACAAATTGAAGCAATCATCGTTACATATATAATAGGTTTCCTCATCTTGTTTGAAAAAGTATTTACATGATTTGCTTTCTTTACACTGCATGCAAATGGGTATAAATTGTTCACCCGATCCTTGACCACCACCGATTTGCTGATGTTGATTAATTTCATTTGCAGACAATTCGTCCAAAAGGAATTTTTTTCGACGTATAAAATATTTACCCGGATGAGCGGATATTAAGGCTTCGCAACACGATTGCTGGCATAAATATTCAAAATCTGTTGTATCGGGATTTTTAAAACGGAAACCACACAATTTCTCTTGATTGCACTGTTTGCATGATTTTGTTATGCTTACAATCCATGCTATTATAATTTTTGTTGTATTACCCGCCTCCGTAGTGCTCGTATGCAATTCCTCTAATAAAGGTTCATCGGCATCAGCATTCTCTCCGGCATTGTTCTCTGCAATATAGAGAATCGCTTATATAAATTAATAAGTAAAAAATTTACATTCGCCTTTAAGCGAATTCAATATACCCACCACCTGGTCTCTATTACCAATAAAAGTACATGAGCGGTTTTTAATTAATTCATTTTCACAAGCTAACAACTCCTTTACTTGCAAAAGAAAAAAAAAAAAAAAAATAAATACAAGCTATCTAAGTTATAGGTTTTGAATTCATTAAAAATGTTGTCCATCGTTGACCATTCCTCTGGCCGCTTGCTACTGCCACCTTATTAAGTATGTGCCGCCCATGAAAGAATTTCTTTTTGCATATTATCTTAAGAAAAATAAGTAGTGTTGCTTAGTTGGGTTAAAAGCCATTGGCCGTGGATGAAGTAAGATATTAGACTTCGGGACCACGAATATATCGTAGACAAGGTTTTGTGCAGCGACCTAATTCCATTGTGTTTAGCACTGGTGGAAGCGACGCCAAGACACGCTGTGGATTAGTTGAGTTGCAGTAGACCCTAACTTTTATTATACCAATATAAGCTTGTCAGTCCGTCGGTCCGGCTTGTTCAATCTACGGGCCGTAATTTTTGAGATCTTTTGATGAAATTTGATGAACGAAATTGTTTTGGCTCAAGGGCGAACACACTATTGAAATTGATTCGAATTGGACCACTTCCCGTATAACGTCATATTTTAAAAAATCAATATATAGATAACGTACGGGATGATTAAGGGTATTTAATGGTGGGCCCTACGCTATTATAGTGTACTTGTGTCCGATCTTCTTTTATTTTGCCACGTACAACACATGACAAGTGACGCTGGAAAGTAAACATGTCTAGCACATGCCATTTCAGCGCTTCTAAAGTTTCCCGGGCGAGTGGCGCAATATTTAATAGAGATTTAGCGTGCTGTAGAATCCATTTATCATGTCTAGGACGATATTGGGATCTTTTTGCCTTTAATGATTGTCTCATAAATTATTCTGGTAGCGTTTTCCAGAGATATGAATTTGCTGGATTTAGCAGCTTGGAATGCAGTACTGCAAGAATCATAAATATATACCTTTGCTTTCAACGTTAAAGGTTCGCCTACATCTTGCGTTTTTCACGCTTTGCATTATCGTTACCTATCAATCTTCATTTATCAGTGCCTCTAGGAAAGTCATGTACTTTGCCGAAATCTTACACATTCCAACGTAGAGCCTAAAAGGCACTATTTCAATTGTGGAGAAATTGGAAGATTGCCCGGTACTAAATAGTATCAGCTGCGCTCTTTCGAAAATTGGCAAAAAGCGTTACAGACTTTCAATAAATGTGCGGATAATGTGTTGATATAGCGATTATTTTTCGCTGCAATAGTAATAATTGAATTTGATGTCCCTATAAAGTCTGATTTTAAGATCAATAAAAGACCCTAAGCGGGCTTCGAAATTATTTCTCGCTAAAAAATGATAACTAAGCTTGATTACTGTATTGTCCGACTGTGTCCGACCGACTTCATTATTACGCTTAAACATTTATTGATAGCCAGCAAGGGTAATCGCTCAGTGCTTATTGGCCATACGTTGAATTTCCTATTAAATATAATGTTTGTATTTAAGCATAGCTATAGCTAACGCTTCTCCTTGATTGTTCTCCCTATTTTGAAGAGTCAAATTTATTATGTTCCCTTAAGTTTCTAGTTTTTAATTTACAGTCAAGTAAGTCGCTAGAGCGATAATACGGTACAGAAAAGGAAGGAAGTAAGTTTTAACGAAGCGAAGGGACGAAGTTGTGGGCATTTTTCTTCTATATGAGTTTTTAAGTTTTTGAAAAATGAAAGCAAACGACAAATTTTCGGACATGGATCGATAATCTTTACTTTTTTTTTTTTATATTTTTATTTTATTACCGTAAACATATACTTTTTACCGGTGGTGGATAAAACAATGTTAGAAGAGCTATATGATGTGTTGAGTTATGAATGGTTTACCTTGGTCATCGTCATTGTTAGGATCTGCTTGATTTGTGGCGACTTCAGCTTCAGCCCCAGCTTGTTTGGTAGCTTGAGCTTCGGCATTGTCTGTCGCAGCGGAATGGGAATGAATAAAACGTATGTGACATTTATATACGTATGTACATAATCAATATCGAATGAGAATGATAAATGATCTTTTATTATTTTACATACATTACAAACCTATACAAAATATACTTGCAATAAATGATGATTGAACTTACCGCTGGTTGTTCGTTCTTCCTGAGATTCTGTTGTCTGATTCTCAGTAGCTGTTGGTGGAGCAGTTTCTGGAGCCGATGCAACTTGTTCGGCATCTTCTTTTTCAGCATTTTCCCGAGCTAAAATTGCTTGTTCTTTCTCTGCTTCAGTTACTTCATTTTCCGTATCATCTGGTATTAGGCAAACGTCTGATTCCTCGGGTTCTTGAACATTCTCTACTGGTTCTATTAAATTTATATTAAATGCAATTAAAAATTAGAATCAATTAAAAATTTGATTAACCTACCGTCTTCATCTTCATGCTGTTCGGGTTCGCCTCCGTCATTGCTTACATCTTTACTCGGAACGGGAGCAATTTCTTTATCAGGACTTTTACTATGACTATCCGTAGCAACAACGGGTGCCTCTTTCTCTGTGTTCTCTGTCTCTTCTCCCATCACCTGATCCTCTTCGACTTCTGCATCAACTTCGTTGGCACCCTGATCCATCGGCTCCGTAGATTCATCTTGATTATCATTAACGGCGTTTTGTTCACTTTCTTTTGGCGGAGATGAATTACTATAGTATTGTATATCTGCATCTTGATTAACAGCATCTGTTTCTTGTTCCATAGCATCCATAGTATCCATGGCATCTTCATCATCTCCTTCTCCTTCATTTTCTTCTAAAGTTTCAGTGACAACTTGATCTTTAGCAACGCTATCCGGTCGTTCCTGAGGTAAAGTATTATCCGCTTCGCCTAACATATCCGATTCATCGACTCCAGATTGGTTGTTATTATTGGCAGATACGTTAGCATCTACTTCCTCAAAACTTCGAGATTCCTTGCCAGCTTCAACATTAACACCATCATCAACCTGACTACTTTCATTAACGTCTTCTTCATCTTCCTCCACTTCTCCCGCAACGTCACCCTCACCCTCACCCTCGCCGTCACCGTCACCGTCACCATCAGCATCAGCATCAGCATCAGCATCAGCCTCAGCATCAGCATCAGCATCAGCATCACCGTCACCGCCACCACCAACGCCTTCTTCTTGGTTGCTATCATCTGCTGGCACCCCAGCAGATGTAGCTTGCGAGTTTTCATCAACGTCAAAAGTTCCTTCTGATATTTGCTCAAATTCATCATCATTACCATCGCCTTCCTCTCGGTTAGCATCACCAGCAACCGATGTGTTATCTTCACCGTCCTTGTATTCGGACGTCTGCGTTGTCTCTTCGTCAATCTTCAAAAACGCCGATTCGGGACGCGCCGTTGAATCAGCGCCGTCTGTATGAAAGGAATCTAAACTTGATATTTCCTCCATTGCCCAATATATTTATTTAGTTCACGCAAACACGATGAGGGATGTATAAGCATTAACTAAAAATTAAATAAAAATTCTTTATATCTTTTTTTTCAAGTCTATAACTTACAAATAATAAATGGTGTGTAACACAAGCAATAAATATGATTGAGTTAGAACCAAAAATCTGACAAAACAAAACATTCCATGTTTATTCAAACATGTCCGTCTTTCCGTCCTTCATTCTAGCGGTTATAAATGGAAAACGCCTAATGGCAGATATTAACAAAAACTGTCCAAGTGTAATGCTTATATTCTAATTCTACATAACCTTATCTGAAGAATTGAAGAAGAAATCTTCGCCCTGGTAAGCGGAAATTTACGCTGACGGATGTTAACGGAAACAGTATTCAATTCCATACAGCTTACGACTGCTCTAGCGACAAATCGTTCGCCTATCGTATTATAATACATTGCGCCTTCGCGTAGTTCGCATATGTAAGAAATCCGACCTCGTCTATCTTCGTTAACGGTTTCCTTCATGTATTCTAAAAAGAAGTAGCTCGACTTGCTTTAAACGAATGGTAAAATTTGAGCCAAGATCTTTAAAAATTATTTATTGAAATTATTGGATTAATATATTCTTCTTTTTTGGATGTGCAGATTAAGTGGACTAGGTTAATATATAAATATCGAACTAAAGTTTGACCCTTGAAAGTGAAAAAAACGAGTTCTTTCAATGAATTTCCCTTCTCTACGAGTATTTACGATGTCTTTCAATTTTAAATTTTTTTTTTTATTTTCAAAAAAATAAAGAAAGGAAAGAATGCCTAACTGAAAATTTATGTCGAAAGGTCTGTGAAGGCAAGCCTTTAATTAATTTTTTACTACTATCGGTCGCAACCTAAGAAGTGATCAACACAAATTTTTTGCGCGGTGTCAATATGAAAATCATATGTTTTTTATAAAAAAAAATAAAAAAAAACATGCTTACTCTTTCATATGTCCACAAGATATACTGATTCAAATATATACAGTTAAAGTGTCCATAGGTTGTCACTTGTTGAATACATTTCTTCAAATGCCTAAAAGGTATAAGGAATCTAATATAAAGCTAAAATGTCCATGGACTGTCACCTAATGCAGAGAAGGTTGCATAAACTGCCTGACCCTTTGCTATCGAAAAGAACGAGGAAGGTGATCTGGAAATGAATTTTAAGGAGGAAAATAATTCTTTCAAAGGAGATCATTTTAAGATATTTCGAATGTTTATGATAGAAAGTAGCAAGGGTTATTGTAAAGCAATTATGCAAAGACCATATTTCAACAGTGGGATTTAATTATTTCACGTTGTGTCTAAGACTTCATGGGACTTGGAATTAAGCAAAGCTTTGGGCACCATTTTCTCATTCGAAACAAATGATTAGAATTTAATTATTTCAAGTTGTATCTAAGATTTGATCAGACTTGGGACTAAAGAATATTTTGGACAATTTGATTGTCAGAAGCTGCTAAAACCGGAAACGCTTTAAAATTGGTTAGTGAACTGAAAAATATCGTTTAAGTCGTATATTACGTGTTGCAAGGTGAACAGTTCGGAAACATTTTCAGCCTTTCCACACCAAATTTTCTACATCGACGTAGAGACAAACAAGAAAATGATTTGACTGATATAAAGAGCAAAGAAAGACATTAAGAAACTGACATTAAGAACATTAAGAAGACTGTAAAAAACGTAATAAAAGCAGAAAATTATACTTTCGACCCGTAGAAACAAGACGATTGACTACTGTATATTCTGGTTGGTTATCACTACTAATTAAGATTAACTTTTATTGCAGCAGACAAGCATTACTTCCCAACGTCGTCTCTCCCTCTAGATCTTTTTCAAGGATGTATAACGCGTGACGGAATTTTTGAAAGAAATCCAATTACTGCTCTGCTTAATGATGACTATACCTCAGCGGCGAATCTCATATAACGATCAACATACACAATTCTCATTCCGTCCACAAAAGAAGAAGACAAATGAAACTTCTCAGCATGAAAATGTATATATCCCACGTGTTCAAGTTCATTTAAAAGGCAAAAGAAAATCTTCCAAAAGCCTCGCCTATACAACGAATATCTTCAATCTTCAATTATCATTTAATGATTTAAATTAAGATTTCTTAACATCCTGGCAATTGGTCACCTTAATATTGCTTTTCCCGCCGTTATGATGCGCAAAAAACAACAAACATAAAGCAGAGCCGCAACCTTTTTTTTATAGAATGAGAGCAAAACGAATCACAAAAAAATAAACACTCTCTTACAATTTTTATGTAGACAGAATCGTCATAAAATTATAATTCCAAAGAGTAATCCATTTTGAGAAGTTCGAAACGTACCTTTTCAATAAATCTATGAAATTTGTATAGATGTAATAGTAAACTTATTTCGTATAACAGCAATAGTATCCAAAAAATGTGGGACTATACAAGTTTTTTCCTCCTTTTTTTTTGATATGTAGAAAAGTACAGCAAGCACAGTGGGTTCACTACGAGTGTAATGTGCGGCTCAAACACATACAGTGTTCATCAAATATATAATAACACAGCACTTTTTTTTTACATTCCCGTATGATATATGATAGAAACTATTTTCCCTAAATCCAATTAATTGTATATATGTATATATATTTTTTTGAAAGCAAAAAATATAAAGGTGCGATATTTTTATATACTTATACACTCAGCCTCCTACAAGGAATGAGGTGGAATATAAATACACAAGCGAAACAAAAAAGACCAAAAAAAGAATACGCTGCTGCTACTTGGTGGTGAAACGTAAGAGTAATCACTACTTATGTCAATTGCAATGTTTAACACGAATTTTTCAATTTCCTTACATTGGCTTTGCTACGTAAGTACCGCGATATAATTATTAATATTCACTTTTACATCTGTTATATGCAATGATTTTAATAAAATAACTTTAATTATAAATCCGTATAATATGTGCAGCACACATGAAAGTCTAATCGGCTTCTTTACAACCACAGGGAAAACTACACAGAATACTGCTAGAAAGAAGTACAAGAAATTATTGTAAGAGATTGACAACATGCGCACATGGTTACCACTTTTCAATTTCACTCATAAAACGTTTTCATCGAGATTTTCCATAAAAATCCCAAACTTTTTTTATTTATTATTAATTATTCAATTGTTATATGTGTGGCCTCCTTCTCTTATTTCTTCAAGAAATATTGTTCAATAATATACCAAAATATATCAAATATTTAGTAAGGATATATATACTTTTTGAAATGTGGCTGGCGTCGGCTTATTATTCCTTTCTAAATATATATTAATGCAAGCACGAAATGTCAACAGGGTTACCGCAATTCCTCATTTGCAATAGACTTCAAGTACTGTAATTGATATTGTATTGAAAAGCAGTATTTCCAATGGATAAATTATTTACAAAAATATTGCTAAATGCTTTAAATAAAATTATCCGGGGACAAAAGCAAAGTAAGCATTACTGAGTCTGTACATAAACATGCACGGAAAGTTGTGATTATTACAAATGTATGTAATATTTAGCATAATTCTGACGCGATTGATGGCGACATGCGTCTATTACGTTGAATATAATACAAATTGTATCATTCAAATATAGAATTTATGCAAAATTCGAATTTGTCTGGTTTGCATTTCCGATGTCTTTCCGATAAAAAAGATAACATCCCAGTGATTAACAAAAGAAAACAAACTTTTGAAAGTTCAACTTATTACAAAAATTTCCGTGAAAATTGAAAACAAATGAATTGATTGAATAACGCATTCTTCATTGATTATTGTTATAACATTATTATACGATATAAACTAATGAACACAATTCTGTTATATTAATTTTGATCAGTTTTGCTGCAAGTTCATCTAAACTGCCGCCAAAGTGACTGCCACTATGATTTAAATCTTAAAGGATTGGAAATTCATTATTTCCATATATATCTGCAAATCGCTGTAGAATATCTTGTTAAAGCATGCAGACAGATGACCCTCACAAAAAAAAAACCTGGGTATGTTTGTCGATTTTTAAACGGCATACGGACAGTTGCGATGTTATTATAATTTAATTCATTGATTATTTTCTATTAATTTTATTATTTTCGCTGCTCATTGTAGGCCACATTCGATTGTGCAAATCGTAAGCCGAATGCTCTTGCAATCTTGGTCAGGGAAACGATGGAAAAATTTTTACTGTCCATCAAGGATTCCGCCTACTCTTCATAAGTTGGAAAGCAAGGATTTAGACGGCAATATTTAGATTGTAAAATTCAACATCAAAGTCAAACTTTTTCCTTTGATTTACGCATGAAAGGAACGGAAAGGGAGAGTGAAAAGGAAGGTGAGCGGGAGAGAAAGAGACTGCTGATTTTAGGACGTCCATATGATATGTACATATCATATGTTTACATTTGATAAAGTTTGCGATGCCAATTTCTTGCCGTTAAATCTGTAGATAATTTTAGCTTTCAAAGTTGCTACAGATTTAGATAAAAGGGGGTTCAACAAAGTGCTTCAATTGTATTAAATTATTATATAGAGAATATTGGGATAATACTCAAAAATAACAAAATGATCGTGTAAATGCTCAGCTAGGAACCTCTCTACCAATCAACCATGCTTTAGTGAGAAAATTGTCTAATGCCCTAAACAATTTCCTTTCATTCTTATGTAAACTAAGTAATCATTATGAACTCTCCTTGATCTCAATCAAAACTTGGTCAGACCCGCTTATAATTACAATTAGTTTTTATAATAATTCAAAACTATGTCTTTGTTGTAAATTTTAAAATAATTTTCCATTTTCTTCAATGAATTTCTTCTTTCTTCCCTGCGTCTACTTATTTATTTTTGTACTTCGCTAAGTCAATCAATCCATAAATTTAAATGCCTTCGGGTAAAATGCCAACTTTGTTTTACGCTTTGCTATCGCTTTCGATCATTTCCTGTTTTGAATTTGGAACTAAGTAGTAAGTGTAAGTTGTAGGCAGATAAGTCATACTTTTCCTCATCAATGATTGATTTTTATAGTTCAGAATCCATAAATCCCGGCCATAAGTTGTAGCAGATAAACTACGTCTCTTGTCATAAATTGTTGATTACTGATCATTCAGAACCACCAATCAATCGCAAGTTGAAATGAGATGCATTAAATTCTCCTGCATCTGGTTCATCCATCTCATACATTAGAAGACTTAACCTAAATACAATTCTTAAACAATATCAGGATTCTGAATAATAAGCTTTAACTATTAGTTTCGTTAAAACATCAGCAATGGACATTAAGAAGAGTAGTCTTAATGGATGCAAGCGGATATGATAAGAAAATTAGGTTATAAATCTGGTCTAGATTGCTACAGAGAACCATAAGCGGATTAAAAAGCTTATAATGTAACCTGCGTTGGCTAAGTTTAATTAAGAGAAAGTGCCTTGTCGAAAGGACAGGAACGTTAAAATTAATCGGACTCAATAAGAACGGCGAGTAAATGACATCATTAATCAGCTTCGCCATGCGAACAAGTTCCGCGGCGAAAACGACAGCTTCTTACATTTCTTCTTCATAAAATTGAAGAAACACCACATTACCAAATTATCTTCGTCAGCTTGAAGAAGGCGTGACCGAGTTTCCAAATTAAACGTTCAATATCAGAAATGCGCTCATCATAGCCAGCTTTTCTAATTGCCGAGTAACGGCGGTGGAATGGCGGGATATGATTACGTTGTAACAAACTCATTAAGAGTATAGTCTTCCTAGATCAATTTTGTGCCGATAGAGGTTTCCAAAAAAAAAAAAAAATAATATTTTGCATCCAAAGGGAAATTGGACTCTCAAAATTAACGTGGATCAGACTATTTACTCGCTTTTTTTTAATTTTTATTTTTTATTCACTTCTTGGTTCAATATATAGCTTCCGTCTTTACTTTAAAAGTTCTTTATTATAGTTTTATTTATGGATAATTAAATTGAAATTTTTTTACAGCGCAATTGAGCGATTAAAATAAGTGCTTAATTATAACAATGCAAAATTTTGTTTAAAGATCCGAAAAATGTACTGTTCACTCGTTTAGGGATTCATGTTGTTTAATTAAGTTTTTCTTTTGGTATAAATCAAAAATTATTACATAATTATATAATAAACACGATAATATAATCATGCAAATGTTCCGATTTTGAATAATGATATGTTCAAATGGATTGGATGCCATAAGTTTACATACTTCTGAAATTTCCAAACTTTATTTATATTTATTTATATATATATATATTATGTTTGTATACTTCATATTTATATTGCAGGCATATTTACATATCTCAAAATTATATTAAACTTATAATAAATAATAATAATACATTACAGTAGATAATCCTGTATATATACTAAAAAGTACACTGAATCGAACATCGTTATGAGTTAAGAGGAGAAAAAAAAAAAAAAACAAAAACAAAAAAGAAAATGCAAATCAAAAATATTTAGAATCTGAATGGCCGCCTCCCAAAAAAAAAAAAAAAATGAAAAAAATTAAATGAAAATAGACAGACAGACAGACAGACCTTCCTAATCACCTTTCTTATTTTTCGGATTAGATCGCTTATAAGCGACGTTAAATTTTGTGATCGTAATTGTACGTAATTGCAATATAACGGTATATAATTTAACAGCGGGTCCAAGTTTCATACCCAACGTTTCTGTGAGGTCATCTTGTTGCAAAAGTAATAGCGCTTTACCATCAATGTCTTGTTGAACGAAAATTTCTGCGTAATCGGGACAATTTAATACAACATCAATAAATGTGGAAGTTTCTTTGGTAGACCATAAGAGAGGATTACGTTGTATATTGCTAGCATCAAAGTTAAGATTACGTTGCCATAGATCGTAGTTTTGTTTCAATCGTGGTCCATAATCGCAAAGAAATTCTTTCGTTATTTGTAGAACAGTATCTAAATTTTCATTATCTTTAGCGTTCGCCGATTTAATTGATTTAAGGGGCATATCTTCATCGGTCTCGGTGGTTAAAGGCAAACTTGAAAAATCGGTACGGGATAAGGGAATCCTATCTGGCTGCAACAATGCATGATGGGGCTTAATATTGTCCAATACCTGAAGGCGATCTAAAATTTGTTGATCACTTAAATGACTAAAGCTCTGAGAATTGATCGGCTTGTTATTTTTATCCTCGACATATAAGGAACGTACAACATTTTCTTGGGTTAAACGTGTAGGTTTTTCGACTAAAACACGCCAATTTTCTGGCGCATACGGGCAATAATCACGATCGGCATGAACACTCATAGTTGGTTTTTTAGCATTACCTATACCCCGGCAGCCAACGGTAGGACATGGCATTTTTTGTTCGCCCATTTTATAACGTGGTGGCGGCTCTAAATCATGTCCGGTAGCATCGCACCAACCGATTGGATGCAAATCGGGACTATCATCTTCTAGCCAAAAGCAATAATCGCTACTCCAACAATCTAAATGCAATTTAACACGATATCCTTTATGGGCAATAACAGTTGCAGGTCGAATTAATGATGAATTACGTGGATCGACTACTTCCAATTTCATATTAGGACGAAAATTAATTGGTTCACGCGGTGCAAAAAGCTCTTCATTGGCAGCGACACCACGACCCTGTTTCCGTATATAATCGTTCCATTTGAATGACGTATTTTCACATTCAGGCGGCACAAGCAATTGTTGACGTCCTTCGTGCCAGCCGCAAGGATGTATATAAGGTGAATTAATATCGACAATAATATCATAACAATCATCCCAACCATCGAAATGGATGCGTATACGATCATCAAGTACATCAGCTATAGTAGCCACACAAAGTTTACCGGTATCATTAAGATCCTCGGCTTCCAAATGCATTCCAATCTAAAAAAAATTAAAAAAAAATTTTTTTTTTTTAATAATCTCTATGTAGTATATATAATAACGTTTTGATTAAGATTATAAGATCTGTCCTTACTTTTTTAAAAAAACATTGGAGGGATGTCATAAAAAGCATATATATATATATATATATATATATTTGAAAGGCGTTAAATTCGCTGATCATTTACTCATACCTTTTGGACAAAAATTATTAGGTGTTTGCAAAAATTTTGATCAGCGACTTTTACAATTAAAAATGATAAAGAGATGGGAAAGACCTGCGTACAAAATGGTTCAATTCGATGGTTTAAACCTTCCTCTACATAAATTGATTCTTTCAGCGCACGCTGAGGTTATTCAGGGAGCGTTCAAAAGTCTTCTTCTTTCAAATTCATTGCCATGGTTGTTGATTTGAAGGAATCTGCTGCTGAGCACGTTCTGAGGTTTATGGTGATGCTTCCCTAACATATCGTAATTGTTGGTTTTGGGTTTAACGGTTTAAAAATGTCCATACGAGTTGACTAGAAATGCCTTTGTTTGTCCACTTGTTGAAAGAGTTGTGCAGGATAAATTGTTGCAGCTCGAATGCAAAGTTCTGCCGCAACCAGCGTACTCACCAGACATAGCGCCTCCTGATTGTCATTTGTGCAGATCGACGCAGCATGGCTTGACTGGCACACGGGGACAGCATAGTTGAAGAAGTACGCAAATGAGTCGGTGGTTGAATCGCTGCCATGGTATCGCCATGTCGCCAAAAATATTGCAAAATATTGTGGAAAATGATGGAAACTATTTTGATTAACATATGTTGCATCAATATTTCAAAATAAATGCCAAAAAGTGATCAAAATTTTCGCAAACATCTCATAATGTATTGCCAAAGTCATTTAAAATTTGATGAAAACGTTGGCTGTAAACGTTACCAACAGCAAAATACTGTAACTCGTGATGGCAGATGCTTTTTGCATTACTATCTAAAAATTGGACATAAAATAAATGTCCCAGATATAAGAAAATAGCTCGGTGTGTTAAAGTAGTACACTATTTAGTGGGGCTATATAATTAACCCATGTAATGCCTTTGTGAAGGATATGCTTTATGAACGTAGCATAAGATTTACAAAAAACAAAAAAAAAACTTACCTTAAACGGATTTCTCGGCGTTAGAGCAGACGAATTCAAGTGGGTAAATAATAGTCTGGGAGCCGGCGTTCCTCTTTCCTTATTTAAATAAGCAGACCAATTAAATTTATTGGCACTAATGCCCTTGGGTGGCTGGAGGATACGATTCGTTTTTGCGCACCATCCCGGTGGAAAAATATCCATTGAGTCAGCATTCACCCAAAAATCATACATGCTATCGTACCCATCGAAACTTAGCTTCAAACGATAGCCATTAATTTCAATTACGGTGCAAACACAAAATAGAGAGCAATTATCGGGATCGATGGCCTCCAATTTCATGCCAACTTTGAAATTATTCGGTCCCGTAGGAAATGGATTAAGGAATAACGAAATTGGTGCTGCACTCGACTCAGGATTACCGGGCAAATAGCTGCACCAGCGGAATCTTGGTCCTGGCTGTTTTTTCACCATCCTTAATGATAACACTTCCATTTTACGTGCCCGTTTACGTAGAATGCTTGTTCTTTCGTCACGATGCCGCTTACGAATATCACGTTTTAGACAAGTAAGTGAACAAAATTCTATAAAATGAAAAAACGCTTGTCAGCATAATTTTAAATTTGACAAGAAAAAAAAAAAACAAATTAAACAAAGAAATACACAAACCTGGCGCCAAAAAATCTATAGCCGGACCATGACAATTGCATCGCCTGCATAGATACAATAAAGGCGAAGGATCTTTAGGATTGCTACGAGTACATTCACGTTCAATAAGAGGTTTTTCATATGCCGTTTGAATGCGTACACGTGGTGGACATTTTTCATATAATTGAACTAAATTGAATTCATTTAATTGAAATTTATATGTGGTGCCGCGAGCTGTTCCAACGCGGTCCCGCCAATTTAGCATATTGAAACTGGAGCATATATCCAACATAGATGGGTAACCGTTTGTTTCATTAAGATCTGTTACTTCAACTTTTGGTTCATTTAATGCTTCCTTTAAGAAAGATTCGGATTTTTTTAAAGATTTTTTCAAGCTACCGTACGAGTCATTTAAATTTTCCGAAGAATTATTTGAGATGGATGAAGGAGAACTAATTAAAATTTGCTCCTCACAAGTTAAAGATTTTTTATTCCCGTTTGTCGCACCGCCTCTAGGGCAATTATTAGCATCATTGTTGTTATTATTATTATTATCATCATCATCATCATCATCGTCATCATCATCATCAATCTCGATTTCTTCAATTTTTTTTTCTTCGGTAGGAACAATCGTAACATCGTCTCCATCAGAATCGCTATCATATTTCGATGACTTCTGTTCCATTTTTGTATCGTAATTTTTTTCCAAAGAGAAAATTGGTTCACTTTTTATAGATTTAAGTGTATGATGTTCTTCATTCGTTAGCCATTTAGTAGTTGTTTCCGGGTTGGATGACGAGTTTAATGATTTACTTCTCATTACGTGCTGCAACTGTAAGTCATTTTTAGGCAATGTCGATGCCGATGCTAATGATTCATTTTTCTTGATATCTTCATTTTCTTCTTCTTCTTCTACTACGAATTTTAAAGAATCATCTTCTTCGAAAAATGCCCCCATTTGCAACTTTTGTGACTTTTCAGGATTTCCGGGCATCCTTGCGTTTATTTTGGAAATATCCAAAGGTTTCAATACATGCAATTTATCGTAATCAGTTACTGGACCAGAGCGACGTCTCTCGACGGAAACTATACTATTGCCATTATTAGATGATTTCAATAAAGCATTCCACGATTGTGATCTTTGGTGACGTGGACTGATTTGTTCAGTATCGATTTCTAATGATGATTTTTTTGAATTCATTTTCAATAAAGATTCTTGTTTTTCAACAGATACTCCTGCATATTTACCCGATTTTAATAACGAAGGATTGGCTGGTGTTACAATTAATTTATCAAATGGCTTTAATAACGAGTTATCCTCGATGACTCCATTGTGGGTATTAAGCGATTTTAATAAAGATTTTTTAGTTTTTATATCGCAGCTTTCCGTAATTTCCATAATCATCGGGTCCCCAGATTCTATCTCCTTACAATCATCATCATCATCATCATCATCACCAAGACTCGCTGTACTAAATGACTTTAATGTGATTTCATTTTGTAGCTTGGATGGGGCATTGACTACTTTCAATAACGGACGATTATTGGAATTATCTTCTATATCGTTAATCCGTTTAATTAGAGACACTTCAGCACTAACATTTGCGACCTTAACTTCATTGTTTCGTTTTAATAAAGAATTCGGCTGCTCAATGCTGCCTACTTCGTTATTTGTCGTTGCCTTCGTATTCTGTAATAAACTAATTTTTTCTATTTTCTGGCCATGTAATGGTGATGACGATGATGATGATTCCGTGCTTCCTTTATTACTGCCCAATGTAGTAAATATTTGATTAGAACTTTCGCCATCAATTTGTTCCTTTTTATTAGCAATAAGAGGTTTCTGCAGTTTATGCTGTTGTTGCTGTTGTAGCTGCTGCAGCTCTTGTGGTTGTTGTGATGTTATCATTATTTTATTTTTAACAACGGGTTTGGATTTATCTATTATAAACTTTTGTTGCTGTTGTTGCTGTTTTGCTTGTAATAAAGAAGCCTTTAATAACGTTGTTCGGGGAGTTACCACTTTTGCTATTGACGGTGCCACCAATGTTTCATCATTAGAGTTCAAATCGCTTCCAATTTGTTTTAAGACATCTATCGTTACGTTCTTTCGCTGTTTTGGTATCAATTGTTGTTGTTGTTGTTGCTGTTGCTTTTGATGATGGTTACGTATTAAAATTGGTGTTTGTCCTAGAAATTAAAAAAAAATTTTGTTTTCCAATCGATTCTTTAACATTAAATTAATATGAATAACAGTTTTTCTTAAGCAAAATTTTTATAAGCCGCATCACTTTATGCTTAAATAATTTAAATTGAAGCAGATCATTACATGTCCAGATAAAATATAAATAATTAAGGTTACCAGATGAGCTTAGAATTAAAGCATTATTTTACGGGACGCTCGCTATCGTTAATGTGTATTTTTTCTTTTTATTTATCACGATTTGCTTTAACATTGAAAGTAAGAAATTAAATAATAGAAATATCTAAAGCCAAGTCTATAATACGTGGGTTTAATCTGATTCTATAACTTAAAGTAATAATTTGAAATGTATTTGATTAAAAATATCTCGCGAAAAGTTTTTTAAAACATATACATGATCATAAGCAGAATCATACTATCCGCCAATTAATTTTTAAACGCAGAGTTGTCTGCCTTAAGTGACACACAGCATTTATGTTACATTCTTTTTGCCCGAACTAGTTACTAAATTCGAAAAATTTATTTTCAAATTCTCGAGATAAAACAGTTTGCCTACAATATAATATATAAGCCAAAAAGGAATAGGTGATGAGCAAGAAAATTAAATTTTCTTACTCATTAACTAAAACGCCTCCCTAACCCGACAAACTTTCAATATATTTCCGATAAATATGTGAATAATTTATATATTTCCCTTTGAAATCTTCATAAATTCGTCAAAATTTTATTTACAAAACCCAATTTCATTTCAATTTATCTACTCTTACTACTATACTTCCTACAGCCATAAGTAAGTCGATAAAATTAAACATAGATTGAGTCACTTGGATTTGATTGAGTCACAAAATTTGTTATTAAATCTTTTATTAAAATTAAGCACCGCAACGTATTCTTCTCTTTACTTAGCAGTTTTAATTGTTCCTCATTTCTTCCTGTTGCTTTGCATAATTGATCGATCACATTTAGTTTACACCTCACGTTATATGAGTCTTTTTTCTTTTACGCTTCTTTTTTCTAATTTTAGAATAAAAATTTTAAAGATTTATAGTGATTCAAATGAATCGTAAAAAAGAGCAAACGAATATAGGCTACAAAGAGTGTAGGTAAATCGGTGATTCCCCCGCTTGTCTTGAGTGGCGTACCATCTTTTTCGGAATAAACGACATATATCAAAATTCTATGTAAAAAGGTGTTTCTTATAGTCCGAAGAATACAGTAATTACCAAAATTTATTACTAGATATTAGAATTTTTGACTCATAGGATTTAACTTATTCAACTGAAATCTGACTTTAGTGATTTATTCAAATTAGAGAATCAGAGATTGCGTACAATTACCAAAAATTTTGCATATAAAAAGGAGGGGCTGGAGATTTTTCTAATATATTCAAGATCGTATCGGCTATATAATTACAATATCCCCTGACAAACAACATTACAAGCACATATGATACCCTACCGAAATGCCAAGTGAATGGAAGAAGGCAGATGATGGAGTAGCTATTATGAAATTCAATTAAAGTTCTTTTATTAACATTTTTGTATCGTTTCCTTATGAAAATGCCGTTAAAAACTTGATGAAAATAGTGTAAAAACAAAACTTTACACCATATACGTAACATATGTTAGTTGTGTAAAGAAGGAAATAAATCTTTGCTCCGTGTTGCAAACAATCATTACAATATATGAATAGAATCATTCTTTTATTCGATCGAAAGCGCATGCTCGGCTTCTGCTTGCTTTAATAATTTGCAATAAATTCTTACATCTGGTCACCTCATTGTGAAAGTCATTCAAATATATATAAATTCATCCACAAAAAAAAAAAAAATTTATTTTCGTCAGATAAATGAACACAAGATTTTTTACTTATAAACTTGATTTACTCTATTTTATTAAAAGCAAGATCAATTAAATTACTTCATGCTAAGCAAGCCTTTTTCCTCTCTTTGTTTATTTTATTGTTTTTAATTGATGGGGATATACTATGAAATACGCAATTATTAATGGGAGAAAAAAATGCTTTTATTTAAAACGTTTTCCAAGAATGCTTCAATTTCTTACCAACAATTTTTATTACATTATTTTAAAAAAGGATTCAATTAAAAAAAAAAAAAAAAAAGAATTGTAAATTAAAAATTGCGGCACAAAGCATATAACAAATTTTTTCGCACATGCAAAGAAACTTTACCAAAAAAAAAAAGAAAAAATTTTTTTGCTGTTTAAAATGAATTAAAAGCAAAAAAAAAGAAAAAGACTAAAGAAAAATAAGGTGAATACAATTTAAATGGAAAAACTTACCCAAGTTTGGTACGACATTCGCATGTGTCAATAAAACATTAACCGTAGGACTTGCTGCTATAACCGAATTTAGATTTGCATTGTTGGGAGCACTCAGTACTTGATAGGTTATGTTATTAGATTGATTTGTTGCCATTATTACTGGTTTCGAAGTTGTGGTAACCAAAGGTATGGAAGCGTTAGTTATAGTAGGTATATTTCCAGTATTTGTTATATTTGATTTCTGTTGTTGCTGGTGTTGTTGCTGTTGCAAACTTGGTAAAATTGATTGATTAAATGAATTGGTATTTGTTACCAATACAGGCACAAAGTTTGATATGAATTTTGAATTTGTTACACTAGACGGTGAATTCGAAGTGTTTATAAATCCTGCATTTAATAAAGATGATGATGATGATTGATTTCTTACGATTTGTTTAGTATCGAATGAAGTTAACACTTTAGCATTCGATGTTGATGATGATTTCAATATCGGTGTTGATGGTGTAGCCGCCGACGTTGTAATGTAATAACGCGTTTGTTGTTTTTGTTTTGGTTGAACATTTAAGTTGCTCATTTTTCCAAATATTACACTAATTTCTTGTCACAATATCAAAATTTTATTAAAAAGCAACACTTAAGTTTTTACTCGTATATCAGTGAGTGGATTTTTATATAATATTCTTTTCTTTTTTTCTTAGGGCTGTATTTCAAAGTTGAGCAGTCAGCTCCTTTTGCCCAAATTATATACGATGTTTGATTGAATGTGAATGTATGTTGCGAACAATGCAAAAAGCGTACACAAATAACGACACTCTGGGGCTAAAATATTCAAAGAAAACTTTTCAAGTTTCTTTAATACATTAGAAATATGCAAAAAGGAATTTTCGATTGAAATAAATTCATTTTATTAATTTATGCAATTAAATATATACATATTGTATAAATTGTAAATCTTAATCTCACTTTTTATATTTAATTTATTTTTGTTTTATATGAACAGTGCTGCTATTTAAGTAGCATTACCAGATGAGTAAGAAAAGTTACAACTAACAGAGATCGTATGTCATTAGATAAAACTATACGCTTATTAGATTAGCAGAAAAAAAATTTGTCTTTCTCTTATCATTTATTTTAAAAAACTAAATTTTCATAAAAAGTAAAACTTTAATGTGCTTATGTTTGCTGTAACAAGAACACGCTTTCATGAAATAACCAAAAATCATTTCGGTTATTTCAAATATTGCACATTTTCTGATAAGAGTTACCATACTAACCATATGGTGAGTATGACGTTGATGATTATCATTGAATTTATGCTCAAGAATACAAAATAGTGTATCATAAATATTTCTGTGATCTTTTGACATACAAGGAAATGCTAACCGGAGGAAAATTTATGAAATGAAATATTATTCCGTGGTCATTAAAGTTGGTATCGATAAAATGTAATTATGAAAAGCAAAATGCCTAGAAAATATTGTTTGGCGAACGTTAAAGTTATGTTCGATCTCTTGGTTTGAGTTTTCCTGAGTCAACCTCTATCAAGATTGACCGTTCGATCGATCAAGAACCACCTTCAAGATTGAAATTTTTATAAAGACAATTTGGAAAAGATTTACTTTTGCTTATGTAGTCTTGTTCGCAAGCGGCAAGTCAGTCAAGTTTGGTGAGTTTTCGGCATGTGCTCGTTTTTATGTGCCTTCATAGAAAAGTGGAAGAGATAAGAATTGAATACACAATTTTTTTTCTTTTCCAAATATTGAAAAACGCGAGAACGCGAGACTTTAAGGGAAATCATTCTAATATATCTTCTTTCGATTTCAATACTCGCACTATGTATGTATGTAAGTGTATGTATGTATGTATGTAATGTTGCCGCATTTTGTTGACGCATGTGCTAGCAGAAGAACAATTGAGGAATGTGTTAGTCGGAACTTCATTGCACAATTATCTCCAAACGCAATATAACATTGAATTGCGAGTTTTTAGCAAAGACATTTGCATAATGATATATTTTCGATGCGTTTGTTTAATGCAAAGAGGAAGGAATTTGACATTTAAAAATATAAGGAACATATCTTGGCCGTCTAACGATTTCGTTTGTTTATCAGGCCGTTCTCATATAGTGCATTAACATTTTCTATAAGAAAATTTTCGCCCTGGTGTTTGTTTCAACATGAAGTTGATGATAGAAATGATCCGAGGTTTTTTTCAGATTTTATTATAATTTGCCTGAAATTCTTAGTTATTGCTAAAAGAGATCATTTTCGCAAATGATTTATGATTTAAGAATTTCAACGGTAAACGCAAAGCGGACATTGCCAATTTCATGCTCAATGCATATTTTAATTGTTGTAAACCAATGTGTGTTTCCTTAGTTGGGATAATATATCTAAACTTTAAACTTTAAAAGCATTTTTTTCACTTCTTTTTTGAAAAAACTGATCTGTCCAATCTCTTTTACTTTCCATTTCTGAATTTATAAACAAATCTATAATTGTCATAATTTATTCGTGATTTAAGCTAAGCAAATGAAGTCTATTTCATACCTTTTTAAAAAACAATTATTATAGTACATTATTTAGCCAATAGAGGAAGGTGGATCAATTAGATCGATTTGTTTCTTGGAATTTATTTATTTTTTTTTTGATTAAATTTTATGAGATCTCTTCATCAAACAATCGAAGTATACTGTTTGTCACATGATTAAAAGAAAAACGGCAAAATTTTTGCCAAAGTGTATCCTAGCGAGTCCTTTGTCCGCCCCCATCTCTGTGATTTTATGAAGTAGTAATAGAATTTGATTCTGCGCGCAGGTTCTCAGAATAATGGGATCAAATCATGAAATTAATTTTTATTTCAAATAAATTTAACAGCAATATCTTGGTAAAGATATTTGGACTTAAAGCGAATGTTTTATTTATATTTCTTCTATATTATTTGTTTATATACTTAACTTTCTGCCATTCATTTGCTTGAGTAAATATTGACTTTTATTAATAAATTTTTAATGTCACTTACCTTCTTTTCAATTTTAATAATAATTTAATTAATATTAATTGCTTGTAAACGATATATTTAATAATTAATTTTATTAAACTTTATATTTTAATCAAAATTGTATGTGCACCAGAAAAACTCACAGTTGATCGAGTTGGTGTATAAAATAAAATTAGTTAGAGATGTTTTTTTTATCACACCAATGGCAACATATTTGCATTTATCGGTTTTTTGATAGAAGTTTGAAAAAATCTAAGAACGAAAGATTTTATTTTCGCTTAAATACAAAATGATTTATAAAATAAAATTTTTGGTAGTTTCTATTATACTCCGCTTAAAGGTATTGCGACAAAAATCGTAAAAAAATCTAGATCTATTATAATGCAAATGACTGGTTAGCACATCAGAAAATGTGGGGGCGAATGCTCGGGCTACTCTGTTTTACATTCTTTACTATAAAAATGAAATATGTACATCAAGACATAATTTTTTTTTCATGCTATCTATTCCAAAAACAGAACTCGATGAAATTTAAAGAAAGTAGTAGAAAATATTTTAAATCTTTGCTTATAAAGCTGCAAACACTGAATGGTTTTTCCTACCCGATATGAATGTGAAGAAAACGAAGAAGAAGACATATCAGCTGTAAACTGAAAAGGACGTGTCAAAGCTTCCATTGCAAAAATACGATATCATTATTAATGAAAGTGGTGAAAAATAAGAGAAACAAAACGCTATGTCGTCCTTAGATTTGCTCCTTTTGAATGTGGACACCTTATTTGAACAGCATAGCGTGACGGAAATCGAAATGGTGCATAAAAGAATTGAAGAAGTTATTGAGAACAAGAAAGAGGAATTACGCACCATGGTTGGGTGAGTGTGTGGCAATTTCATATTTAAAATTGTAATACATTTTTTTCCTTTTCTTAAATAAAAGCGAACGTTACCGAGACTTGTTAAAAGCTGCTGACACTATTACTGCCATGAAAGAATCTACTAAAGAATTAATTACCCAAGTCGAAAGCATTAGTGGTTACTGTAAAAATCTGAATGATCAACAATTAGTTGGATTTAAAACAGAAACCGATAAGAGTATAAATTTAAATAAGCGTATTGTTAAATTACAGGACAATTATTTCAGCACCATGGTTCAGATTAATCTTTTGACATGTTTGCCTGAAATTATTTGGTCGCATTTAGATCAAGAACAATATTATGCCGCTACTGAACTTTTTATATTTAGCCGTCACATAAGCACCGGTCTACAGTTGGATTCGAATGATTTAATGCGGAAGTTACCGATTGCGAAGAAACAATGGGAAATTCTAAAACCTTTTCAAAAAACTATAAAACAACAAGTATTGTTCGCTCTGGAAAGGGAAACTTTAACAATTGATGTCTTGGTCGATTGCTTAATAGCGTTATTGTTATTAGATCATACTACTTTAGAGAACGCCTTCAAATGTTTCTTAAAGTTACGTACATCAACAGTTTTGCATTGTTTATCAAATGATAATAATGGCAGGGCTAAAGACCGTATTTTGACTACTTTAAAAGTGCTTAACGATAGTTTGGAATTGATACATCAGTGTTTCTTTGGTAAGTTTTTTTAAATGCAAACATTAGCAAACATTAAGAGGGTGCATTTTACGTGAAAGAAATAATTAGCTCCTTAAGAACAATAAGTTTTAAAAATATTAATATGCAAATCATATTCAACAGACGAGTCCAACTTGTAACGATGTCATTATGTTCGTGTTTCTATCTCTCGTTTGTGTGTCACAGAAACGCATGAAAAATCAAAAAAAAAAAAAATCTCGTGAAGTTTGATATTATATTTATTAAGGTAAGATTCAGCGTTTATCTATTTTACTTGCTTCCCAAGCTTGTTTGTTAACTGGTTTCGTGAAGTATATATATGTTTTTGATTAACGTCAGATTCAAAGTCCATCCATTTCTTTAAGGCAGCCCATGGGTATTTTATTATTAGCATCATGAACATAGCCCTTCAATTTATATGTTTGCTCACTTGTCTCTTAAAAAATTTTATAAAAGTTTTCATTATGATAGACGCGATGTGAATTATTCGGTCTCTCAACCTGTCTGTTAAAAGATTTCGCGAGAGATTTCCGTTATACAAAATCATTGTAGTCTCAATTTGATTGAATTGCACGCTCCTAATGTTTGATAATTTAACGTAATGCTTAAGTAATGCCTTAGATTGTGAATGTAAAGTCGAATATGTTTCTACACTTATGTACTTGCGTTGCAGAGAATGGTGCAATTTTTGTTAAGCTGAACGAATATACAAACGTGAATGCTCTTCCTACCATAAATCGCGTAAATTGTCTGGACGTGCATTTCGATAATGCCTTACCCGATATAATATTGAATTTTAAAGGTAAATTTGATACAACTACACTTTCCAAGGACAGCATAAATTTAGCTTTAGAAAAGTGGCTAAAGGATATTCAGGACTTAGTTGAAAATCAATTAAAGCAATTATTTGATTTGATTGCTAATATGCAAATCATACAAGAGATAAAAACTGATGCCAATAATATACGAAAACCAGGAATTTTACGATCGTTTAGTAATCAATTTAATCATTTGGAAGCCCTGGATTTTTATGAATTGCATTATGTACCTTTAATCAATCAACGTATACGGAACATAATTAATGATAATTCATCGAATGCTATTAATGAAATGCAAGCGTTTATAAAGAACTTACTTGAAATAGAAGAAGAAGAAGAACTGAATAGTAATAAGAAGCAGAAAGAATACATTTGGCAAGAGAATGCTACTGATTTACCCAATAGTTTAGCTCAAGTTTTAAATGGCGATCTTAAAACAAATAATCTTTTAATGAAATCAAAAGGTTATGATACGCGAATAATTAACGTATGTCACGAGTTGGATGAAAAACTTGCTGGAATAATAAATGAAATGAATATTCTATTAAAAGAATCGTCAACAAAAGTCGAAGATAAAATTCTTTTAGTTGATTTTTTAAGTGCAACCGCTCAAGAACATTTAAATCATTTTATAAATCAACTCGGGAATCTTCAGCGATCCTTGAAAGGACGATCTGCTTTACTTTTTCTGGCACATTGTTGTTGTGCTTTATTGGAGCTTTGCCCACATTTAAAAATCTGTTTATGTCAAAAAAGTTCTTGGCGTCAATTATTGCGTGCATCGACATCTTCTGTCGTTACTGAACGTTGGCGACAGATTTGTAGTGCCCTGGAGGAACAAATTTACCACATTTGGCTACGTATCATTGAGGATGTATTAGAAGAGTTTGACTGTAAGCGTCTAATGCCTCAAACCATAACTAACGATGTCATCTTAAAGGATTTTACAGTAAGTGAATAACTTAAATTGCATTCAAGTAAAAGTGAACCCTTAATAGAGGCTGCCTATGGACATTAATATCGATTTAAAGTTCTTTGAAAAACCGAACATATGTTGGCCTTGCACTTTTAAAAAACATCGCTAATTTGCATTAAGGGGGAAAGTCACCGTAAATTTTTCTTTTTTTATCTCAAAGATATTTTTTTCTGGATATTCCGAGGCTTGCTTAAAATGCTCTTCAAAAACTGCCTGTCTGGCGAAGTTATTATCTACGGCTATCTTACAGTCTAACATCTTACCCGTTGATTTAATTTTTTTTTTCTTCTTTAATATATCATAGTCACCTGAGACTGTGAAACTCAGAGTATTTCTGCCACGCAATTAAAATTGAGTTTTTTCTCTCCGTTTTCTCTGTCATTTCTGGAAATAAGGAAGAATACTTGAAGATGAGAGGGTAATTTTCTCGTCCGGCGATTGCATACTAATGTGAAAAGAAGTAATAATAATAAATATTTTCCACAATTCTTTACAAAAAATCTATGCAAGTTTACATACATGAAAATTTTAAAATATGTTGGTAATTATGGCCTGGTGAATTACTCAACCAGGTATGGGAAACATTTATGCGAAGTTTTATTTACATCTACACAAGAGATTATATATTAGAATATTTTCTCTGCTTTAAAAAGTACATATTTCATTTATTCTTTATAAACGATTTTATCAATTAATCACGGACGGACAGATTAACCTGAGTCGGATCGTGTATTGATCTAAAATTCAAATATTAGGCAGAGTTTTAAGATCATAAATGTTATCTCAACAAGCAGACAAAGGACACACTGATTAGGTGTGTGCATAGTTCATCGCCACCCAGAGGTGGCCCAAGTTTGGTATAGTTAGTTTTTTTATGTTAATTCAGTATTTTGATATAATTTTCATCATGAAGCAATAAAAATCGTATGAACTTTAGTTTTCCTTATATGAGAAGGAGTTCAAAAATTGCCCTAGCCGGTTCAAAGTTTTCATATTAATTTAGAATGACGAATTTCGAGAAATTTTGAAAGTTGCAATTTTTTTCCATATAAAGAGTTTTCAGAATAGAACTATATATGGAGAATTATCGAAAAAGTGGAGCGATCCGAACGTTGAGTCAAAGCACATGTGCCAAATTTCATCAAAATATTTTAAAATTTGCGCTCTGTGACTTGAACACAAATTACATGGACAGATATTAGGCAGTCAGATGGACAGACAGGCTTAGATCATATCAGATTATGATTTTGAATCGATCGGTATAATAAAAGTTGCGCCTATATTAAGCCTAACTTAGTTTGCTCTGTACAGTAGGTGCTGTAGGATATAACGAAAGCCATGAACATATGATATTAAATATGTTATTAATGTTAAAAATATTTTTTTCATAGCACTGGGAATCGATCACTTTGGAACAAGGAGATTATCATTCGGATCATTTACCACAAACTTCAGTTATTGTTCCCATTCAGCCGAGCCTATGTTTGCAAACGTACTTTTATACGTTCATTTTGAAAATTACTGAGGTGATACCTCAAACATTACCAAGCAAGGTTCTGCAAATTCTCAATGAAAAGTTATTGCAACAGTTGATCGACTATTATCATTCCTTATTAAATGATCAGTTAACGCAGAAGGTGGCTCAGCAGATTTATTTTGATTTGAAATTTTTACAACATTCCTTCGAGCTCTCAAACGAACAAAAAGAACAATTTGAGGTCTTACAAAATTCCTGCAAAAAGCTAATAGATCCTTTCGATTTTGAATTGCTTTTTACTCATAACCTAAATAACGTGAAAAAGGCTGTGAACCGATTTTCTTGTCTTTTGGGTGTTTTAACTTCTTTAAACGTGCAATCAGTGCATGTGGATGCAACACATGCGACAAATATGACACAAGATAAAGATCCAAATATTCTAAATTTATGTTCAAGTAGTTCGACAATGCTTTGGTTTCCACTACTACCAATTGTTACCAACAGTAATGCTAACAACAATAACACAAATATTGCTGCACCGGTTCAAGAACATAAAAAAACTTCCTATGATACGGATAAGGTAATATTTTGTGCTCTTCAATATTTTTTTTTAATATAATTTTTTTCGGTCTTATTATTTTTATATATTTTTAGTCTGTCACGCCCACACATAAATCGAATACTGCCGCACGTAAAAATGACAGTAAATCGAAATCAGGAGCTGTATCTTTCTTTGGTGCTATGTCACAAGATTGGTTCCGATAGTGAATTATTACGTATGTTGCATGGAGCGCGTATATATATATATATATGATTTCTGAAAATCTTTAGCTCTATACCTATGAAGGCTAGATGAAATCTTTCAAAATTTTTCCATTGTCATATACTATGTTTCCTGTTGCCTATCTGCATAAATCCGTAAGAGAATTTTACTAAATTCAATAGATTTGACCTTCATAATGATTATGAATGAATGTCCAATTAGAGTCGTTAACAATTTTGATATCGATTAACGTTAAGGAAGAAGTCATTTCAGCAGATTAGAAATTTTTTCGAGAAGAATATATCTTGCAATTGGATTGGCCTAAAAAGTAACTCCTAATCTTTATAATCACAAAATTATAGGGAAAATGAAATAAAGCTTTATTTTAGCCGAGTTCGATTAAAAATGATCCATAGAATGTGAGGAAGCACTTTGAACATCAACAGGCATGTTTACTTACTCTACCACTTACATGCTAATGTCTACTTGAGAGAGTAACTTACGGAAAGCTATATTCGTATTTATGTAAAGCTATAAAGCGAAGTCATGCGGCGTTGTATTACAATTTTGAGTGAAGATCACAAAAATAGAGTTTTGAATGCAATGCTTAACTAGAGTTATATATAGGTTAGTTAATTTTTATTTACATTTGAACAGCAACTCGTTTAAAGTTCGGAGCGGGTAAGGAAGTCTGCTTCTTTACAACCATAAGCCTCAGAACCTGTTCGGCAGTAGATTTCTTCGATCAAACAACAAAAGTAATGAATTTGGAAGAAGAAGAATTACGAGTACTCTATGATTAACGTGGGCGTACGTTGTGTAAATGAATCATATTAAATGGAAAATTGTTATTTTGTGTAGAGGAAGGTCAACACCATCGAATTCGATCGTTATATATAATGGGTTTTCCCATTTATTTATAATTTTCACCTGTAGAATTCGCTGATCAAAATTTTTGCAAACACGTAATAAAGGTAGTTGTTCCGAAGTTCAACGTATACCAAAAATTTTGGCGCAAACTTCAATCTTTATTTACAATATGTCCTGACTTTTGTTCAAGCAGGAATATAACTTTCGGAATTATGCTTATAAGCAATAGGTAAAGAACGATATGGAAATTATATCTGAATTTTTGTTATGCTAAATTATTACAGATTGATCTTTGATAAGGTAAAAATTCTATTTCCTTTTTCCAATTTTGCAACTGATGGTAGTCTAAACAAAATAAAAAGAAATATTATTTTGAAAGTGATTTCAATATTTTGTTGAGGGAAATGAAATAACTGCAATAAGAAGACATTATGATAAAATTGAATTTTTTTTTATAATTTTCATTAAATAAAGTACACCATTTCAAACATTAATATTCAATTCCTAAAAAATTTTTTTTTTGGGTTGTTGAGTGGAGCCAATCTCATAAAATGCCCAAATGCCTTTGACAACCTAGGAAAACGATTCTGATTTGATTGAAGCAAATGTAAAGGGTAATAATATTCATAGAAATTGTATGGCATATATGTAAGTATAAAAAAAGAAAAAAAATAATTTTTGAAATATATTGACAAATAGCAGCACTGGAGAATCAATTAATTGGTTATTATACCCACCACTATAAGATGGGGGTATACTCGTCTTGCGTTTTTCCATAATATATGTAAACGCCCAAAAGAAAGCTTCAGGGATCCTATAAACTCTATATATATTCTTGATCAGCGTGAAATCCGAAGTTTATTCAGCCATGCCCGCACGCCCGTCCGTGTTGTTGGCACTCTTCTGGTCGCAAAAATGGAAATATCGACTTCAAATTTACTGGAAACATAAGAAATTCTTGCATGCAGATTGGTATTGAAAATGGGCCCAATTGGTCGGAGCAGAAGCGCGCAGTGGAACGTAAACTGAAAGCAAATCAATTTTTTTTTGAAACAAAATTTTTGGATATTTGCTTGTTACTCGGAAATTATTTATGTTAGAATGGTGAAATTTTCTAAAAATGGAACCAATCGGCCATGCCCACACAAAGTTACGAATAATTAAATTTTATTTATCCGCCTGAGTAGCCGAAGGCGAGGAATCTCGACTAGCAAGTCAATGGTCGTGGGTTCGAATCTCAAGTGCGGTAGAGTTTTTCATAAAAGCCGATAGCCTTAGATGCTAGTGCTTTTAAGAGTTTAGTCTTAGAATTTATTTCTCTGGCGAAATTAATAATAATAATAGTAATAATAATAAATTTTATTTGTTTCACTTTATTGAGGTTATTATGCTTATTTTTTATAAGGCAAACAAGAACGAATGTTAAAAGCTATTTTGTGCACTCGTCAAATGAAGATATATTGTCCGCATAAAAATGGGTTAATTTTAAAATGGATATCCTAGATACCGCGATTAATTTTTTGTTAATAATACCAGCGATATGAGTATCAAATAAAAGGGCTTGGAGAGCAGAGTGCGAAAAGCATAGTGGCAGGTATGCGAGATTCGGCCCCCGCCGAATATAACTTTCTTACTTGCTTTTTTTTTGTATTTGAATATTTTTTAAAAATATTTTTACACGTTTCCCTACATGAAACAAAGTATTGGAAAAGTTTGAAACTAATTTCTATCAGCAGCTACTATGTGTATTCGAATTGCTTAGTGAAACTCCAAAAAATTATCTTGTCAACAGGCTCTAAAGGAAAGTCTCTTGCCATTTATTAATTATCTGAAATTCCATCACCAAGAAGACAAGAAATCACTTTATCAACACCTTATAATTTCTTAAAAGTTTTTAAAAATTTTGGATCTTATTATAGTTAATAAGAATCGATTAAGTTTTATGAATACCTCGGGTGATAAGTATATCAAAGAAAAAGATGTGCCATGCGAGAAACCGCATGTAATCCTAGTACGCTGCCGCAGTGACTCACTGACTGCTAACAGTACTTTCATGACCCGGTTATTATCCAAGTCCAGTTATATAACAGGAAAATCGGAAGAGTTCACATTGCAAGCAGAATGCTCTTTAAAACGCCAATGACACTCCCCAGATATGGAATTAATTGTGGCCATTGCCGTGAGCCCCCTTTAATCTTGAAGACCTTTTTGGACATTGTTGCAAGTTTTCAAGCGCTTTCCTCGTTAAGGGTTAGCAAATCTACGAAGTTGGTTATTGTGACCTTGAAAGCTTCTTTTGTATTCCTTTTTAAATAAAGCAATATCGCAGAAAAGATACAAGTACTTTCTGGATTTAACATAGTTATCCTTCAACGGTCTACTAGATGGATAACATCCAGTACCAAAAAAACATTTTGATCGACACTAGCCTTGACAATCATTGCAGTGACATTGCTGGCCCTACTGTCGGCTAAGCTTTCTTCTTACCGCCCACAGACGATCTTGTATGCGGGTGCATTTTTTTGATTGCATTAACATTTTTTTTCTGTCGTAAAACCTCTTTCCATTTCACTTTACGAGAGGTACTAGCTAATGCCGCTTCTCCTCCGAAGTGGTTCCCGTCATATCGGCTACGACTAGTACCTCAGATCGTCTGGGAGGGAGGCGAATCTGTTTTGACATTCTTAGTGTGTTTAGAGCAATAGAATTCAATCCCAATCACTTACGATCACTTATTATACCCAACATGCCAAGCTCACGTTAAGGTTCTTTGGATTTCCTTCCATATTGGAAAAGGGTAATAAGTGGGCGGATGAGGTTGCCAGGCAAGGCGCCTATCAGTTTCTTGTATCTGAGCCGCCCTGTTTTCCTCAGGCGACGACGTCCAGCCGACCGTACAGGCTCATCAGAGTTGCTATTAATTTCGATCATTGGGATCATTCGGAGGTGTTTCTGCTCTCAATTAGCTCTTCCGATAATTGCCACCTTTACCGTAGGTGAATATATTTTCTTAGCCTACCTTAGCGTAAATAAAACTTTAATCAATACTAAACATTATTATGAACTTGCCCAACATGTATCTTCTAATGCTTCATTTTCTGTCCGCCATTTTCGATCTAAAGCTCCTTTGACGAGAATTAACGATTATCTTTGAGAAGGTGTTTGACTATTCAAGAGCAGACATGGTCCCCGAGAATTCACTTTGCTCTTCGACCACGTGAGGCCCTTGATACCTAGATTATACTTAACTTATTACTTTTATTTCTCGAATTATACACTGTACATATGTGTCAATTGTAGCCTTTTTATATCCATTACCGAAGGATAAGGGGTATATTCATTTTGTCAAAACGTTTCTAATGTCCGCAAGCAAGTGTAAGAGACCCAAAAAATTATATATATTCTTGATCAGCATGAAATTCTAAATCGATTTAAACATGTCTGTGCGTCCGTCCGCCTGTGTGATGTCTGTTGTAGACATTTTCTTGGCAAAAATGAAGCCATCGATTTCAAATACAGCAGAAACAAGGTGTTGACCAAGGACAAAAGCACACGTCTATAGCGCTACGTAAACTGAGGACACCTGTGCTTTTCAAAAAGATTAAAAAGTGAGTTTTTGGCTCATTACTTATAAATTATAGCAGATAAACGTATAAAAATTTGAAGGTTTTTTTCATGGATGATGCTGTAGCACCTACAGTATCCAGTGAATTAAAATTTAATTTTTTTTTCAATAGTTTTATAAGACGCGGAAACAAGTTTCAAAAATTCCATAAACTATATAAATGCTTTTTCATTTCATTTTTCATTTGGAAGGCATCTAAAAATGCCCAACTGGTCGTCTGTCCATCTGTCTGTCTGCGAAATCCTGTAGTATTTATGGTAAACATTCCCTCGTTAGCGTGAACGAAGATATCGCCTAAAAATTTGCAAAAAAAATTTACAAGTGACTTTTCCATGGACATGCCTACATATATTGTTATAGGATTTATAAGAATTCAGTTAATATTACCCTTCTTTTAGGTATTAATCAACATTAACTTCGTTAAGCGAGCCTGTAAAGCACTACATAGAGATCGGTACATCAAGTGAAACCAAGTAAAACATATAAATAATGACTTCTTTTCTTATTTGTTTTTATAGAAATAGAAAAACAAATTAGTTTAGTAATCTCTTATAAAATAAAATTAATATTAATAATTATTAATATATACAAGCGAAATAAATAAATCAGGTTCACGTCCAAATTCACTCGGGAAAAAATAACTTTTCTTCACTTTTTGCCGCCTTTTTTACCACCGCCTCCACCGCCGCTAGGTTTCTGCTCTTGACCCTTCTTGACATCCTTTCCTTTATCACCACCAGCGGGTGCAGCTTTATTTTTGCCGCCACTTTTATCAACGGCACTAGCAACAGCAGCTCCGCCTCCACCTTTTTTCTGCAAAGATTGCAAAATATTTTCATATCTGTTTCGTCTTCAATATCGTTAAAAATTTTAAGTTTATTATTATTGTCAATAATATATATCGTACAAAGAAATCATCCTCTTATTTTAAGCTATTTATATTCACACATACAGTCGTATTTTTTTTTTTTAACGTAGCACTATCCAGAAATAAGTTTTGAAAAATAGATTAAGTACATTAGGTGGTTGCAAGAGTTTTGATCAGCGAGGTAAAAATGATAAAGAAATGGGAAATACCAGCGTACACAATGGTTCAATTCGATGATTATGACCTTCCTATACAAAATATAACACTTTCCCATTTAACATTATTGATTTATTCAGAGTACGCCAACACTAATCATGGAGCGCCAAAAATTCTTCTTCTTCCAAATGCAAGAAATCTACAGCCGAACCCCACCAAGCACGTGTCTATGTGCGAAGACTATGATGCTGCTGCTCCATCATATCTGAGTTGTCGGTTTTGGGTTCAACGGTTTAAAAGGGGCGATACGAATGGATTGAAGTTGAGAGTTGTCCTGGAGAAATTGTTGCAGCTCGAAAGTAAAGTCCTGCCGCAACCAGCTTACTCACCAGACATGGCGTCTCCTGATTACCACTTGTTCAGATCGGTCCAGAATGGCTTGGCTGGTATGTAAGTCTGCAAATTTGAAGAAATGCGAAAATGGTTTTGTGGGTGGATCGCTACCAAACCAATATAAGTTCTGAAAAATTGATCAACATTTTTGCAAACACCTAATACGTTTACTTTCAATTTGAGAAAATGATGCGTAAGCAAACTAGATGTCTAGATAGGTGGTATGTCGGTTTAAGTTAACGTTGGACGTTAGTTTAGATTAGCTAAGCTCGTAATGGATGTCGACCACATTTGGAAATGAAAATATTAATGGAAAAATATGTCCTTCGCTGATGTTTTTGTTGGCTTTCCATGAGCAATGATACTTTCAAGAATTTTAAGGGATTTTCAACCCAATCAATTATTCAATCAAATGATTTTTGAGAAAATCTAAGGAGGAATTGCTATCGAAACTGTTCTATAATGCAAACAAAAGAACTGATCGACAGACTGAAAGCTGATAGGCTGAAGGCAGCAATATATCAATAACCGGTATCTATAACATTATAGAGTAAAAAATACTTTCTCATACGTTACTTCACTTATTTATATATAGAATTTTTGCGTTAAAAATTTTATTATTGAGGAGATACTCTGCAGCGTCCAAAGCCGGTGACAACCGATATCTTGAAAATCTAATAATACAGTTTGTCAAGGAAATGGAAAAGCGACGATTTGCAAAATTTACTTTAATCCTCACAAATGCTAGGATTTTTCACCCATTCATCACTTTAATTATTTGGTGAGATATATTGCAGCAATACATTTTCGAGGATTCGGTTCTGATCTCATCACAATCCCTCCCACCGGCAACGGCCGGTTGTGGCGGAATACCGTGAATTAATTTTGAATCACTAAAATTTTTTTTCACTTTTATTACTACGGGCTTATCTATCCCGGATCTATTGAGAGCCTTTTTATGCTCTTTTTGTTGTCTTTGGATTTTCATTTCTTCTTATGATTTATATAAGAAGGTAATGAATGCAAACGTAAAGATTTTTATATATAAAGCAAAAAAAAAACATACTCCACCGCCTGCATTCGAACCTCCACCGCCTCCCCCTCCTCCACCACCACCACCTTTATTTTTACCCATTTTCTAAAAGTTATTATAACACAAGCAAGACAAGTACTTTGATTGCAACGATTCTCTACTAATTATCAGTATGCTAGGAAAAACGCGAAAATGTCAAAGAAAGATGGAAGAAAACAAGTATAAGAGAAGATACAGGAAAGTATAGTTGTCTCAAAGCGAATTTCGTATACCTATCACAAAAATAGCCTAAAAATATTTCTTAATGTATGCGGAATGATTATAAGAATTCAAAGCGAATTTTGTGATCATTAAATTAATGGGAGAAATGTTGTGCTTAGTCATTCCTCTCTATAGGATTCTCGTGTGAATATTGTAAAACTGTACAAACAGAGTGTTTGACCTAATGTCTCTTTAGTTTGTTATGTGCATCAGCAGTCTTTCTATTAGGGATTGCGTTCACGAAAGATGAAAATTTTGTCCCGCTACTACCACAGGGAAATGGCACAGTGTGTACTTACCCTTAGTATTGCCTGTTAAAATATTTAGGCCAGTACGTGGACATGTCTGGCGGGATAACTTACCCAATTACCCAGAGCGTATTAGTTCTTTCATTCGGCGTCACTACCCAAGCAATAAGGCACACTGTAGAGTTACTCATAATATTGTTCTCTTCTCTTTGTTACCATGTGCAGGTCAATGTTTTATTGCCACTGTGAGGTGAGCACTCTGTTTGGCGCTGTAAATTAGCCAACTACTTAAGGCCTCTTATTTCTTCCTTTCCAAGCAATATGCCACAACATAAACTTACCCTCCGGCTTGCTTCCTTGTAACGTTTTCCGCCACATCGTTTTGCCAGCAATGTGATGCCACCGCGCTGTAAATTGGTCAACTAAATAGAAGCTCGCAGTTTTCTATTCGAAAAGCTTTTCTTACATTCGATTGAAATTCGGTTCGAAAGATCATTTCGTTCGTTAGACTGTGCCCGAAAAGTAGCAAAATCGGGCACTGTAGCATTAAAGTTTACTATTTACTATTTATTTACACTTCTACTTAATTATAATTACCTACGCAAGAGGAATCGAGGATTTCTATCTAAAAAAACTTTGACGTTGATTTCCTAAAACAAACAAAATTTGGATTTAGATATATTTAATATTGAAATGCTGCGCGTGTGTCAGAAACTGATATCCTGCCTGCAATATCGTGAAGACATGAGATGGAAAAGAAACATTGTAATCAAGACGTATAGACATGTAGTTAAGAAGCGTGATTATCAAGTTTGCATGGGTTCAATCCTTCCCACGGTAGATCGTCTTTTAATTCCGATTGGTGCGTGATCGCAGCTATCGTAACGTAAGTGCTCAGTCGATAAAGCGAGCCTTTCAAGCTGCTTACATCTCTTTATGTATTATATAATATAACTATACACGTTATACTATACTACATATTCTATGTTATACCATTTACCATACTATATATAATGTATACAATATACACGATATTATACTATTTATTCTATGCATGTATAGCATACTATATATACTTTGCTATACTGCACGATACTGTCTATTCTATAAACTATACTATACAATACTATATATACTATGGCATACTATACTTAATGTATAAATGCTTTGTGGGTAAAGCGCACTCTTCAAGCTGCAGCCACCGCTTCCATCTCCATATGTATTATATTATATAACCATAATATCCATGCTAAACTGTACTACATATTCTATACTTTATCTTCTATACCATATATACGATACTATACTATATTGTATGCGTGTATATTACACGATACTATTCTATTTATTCTATGCAAAAAAACAATGCTATACTAAATATAGTATATTTACGATACCAAACCATATATACTATATTATACTATACGATATATTTTATATCCTGTTACATATACTACACTATATTAATGTATATATAAAATACTATATATACTATATTTACCATACTACATACTATATGCTATGCGATACTATTTATATATACGAAACTGTACTCAGTACATTGTACGATACTTTTTATATGCTATACTATGTACATGCACTATGGACTATCAAACTATATTCTCTCCGAGGATCATCGTAATGCACCTGTAGAAGGTTTCTCCTGAGTGGTTCGTCGTTAAAAAGAGAAAGCGATTATGGGAAAAAAGGATGCGCTCATCCGATAATCATGAATATGTATAAAATAACCTTCCTGTTGTTGTTGGGACTCTTCTATGACGTTGCTTAGAATACAAGTGTTAGACAAACTCTATGAGAAATTTAAAATGCCTTTTATTTATTTGTGCGAATATTCATAAATAAAATACAAAAATTTTAAATCAGAAATGGGCGGATTAATTATTGCGATGTACCCTTCGTATAAATAGGGAAAGAAAATTTTTCATTGAAAATCGTATTAAAATTAATTGAATAAATTTTTAAGTAAATTGATCTTGTGCCGGTTAAAGTAAAAATCGCTAAAAGATAAGAAAAAAAATGCATTTTATAATAAATGTGTGTGAATTTGTTTATTTTCTATAATTTAAAAAACGTTTAAAAAAGGCCCCTGGATATGAAAGTGCTACCGATCGCACAACAACTTTGCATATATTCATGTACATGTGTTTGTACGTATGAAAGTGCAATGAAATTTTTGTTGTTGTAAGATAAAAATAGCAAGTTGCAGTAGTCGAAGATTTTAGAAATGACAAACAAAACAATATAAATAGATGGAAAGCAAAATAAATCTATATTTTCCATTGAATCTAAGTCGGTGTACCAATCGTTGTATCGTACAACACTTGCGGCAAAGAGGTGCATTAAATATGTGCCGATGTATGTAACACCCAGGAGAAGGAAATGAAATAAATCCACCATTCATTATACCGATTGAGTCAGAAAGTGATTCTAGTTTAAAAGTTGACCGTCCATCTGCGCGTTTTATTGTGCTCAACCCATAGGTTGAAATTTTTGAAACGTAGTACACTGGCATGCTTTGAACAAAGGACGCTATTCAAAATAGTTTGGATCGTTACACTTTTTCGATCACTTCTTATGCAAGGCTTTATTTTGGAAAATGGTTATTGAAATAAAGTATCGGTTATTTAATGGCGGGCATTGGTCCGCTTTAGAGTTTTTACGTGTTTTGGGTGTAAATATGAAGAATGAAGTTTCTTTTTCTAAATTATTACCTTGCCATTGGGCCCATGAGGAATAATTGTATTTAGATCTTGTCGTTGCAATTTTCTTTCTTATAACAGTCTTCAAGTTGCTTATGTTATTTTAAGATTTAAAGTTCTCGTAAACTGACTGATATATGTCCATCCACTTTTGCTGATGAGTATAAACATTCAGTCTATATTAACTTGTCTACCCTACACTATTCGAGGTAGACGGTATATTAAATTTATGCGGAACAAGCAGAGGGGCTTACGATAGACTCACCCTTTATTTTTTTTCCTTTTGTGAATCGATCTAAGCCACTCTGTCCGTCTGTCCGTGTGTCCATGTAAATTATGTGTTCAAGGTACAGGTCGCAAATTTTGAGACTGAAAATTGGTACAATGACGTGCTTTGACGCAAGCACGACCGCTATTGAAAATGCGATCACTTCCCATATAACGATCTGTTTTGAAAAGTCCTTACAAGAATAAAATTAGCAATTTGAAAATTTCTCGACAAAAGCAGCTAAGTAATAGTATTTTCACATTCTAATTTGATAGGAAACCTTTGAACTGATTGTGGGATTTTTTGGAATTTCTTCTTATGTAACCGATGCTATGAAAACTGAATCTTTATATTGGAAAAAAAGTCTAATAATCCGTATTTCATAGTGAAAATTGGCTCGCAATACTAAATTAACAAAGAAATCCACCTTACCGAATTCGGACCATGTAAGTCTATTTTTTGGATGCCACCATAAATGGGGATTTTCATTAAATGTAAACACTTATGTGCTAATTGTTAATTTTTTTGTGATGAAAATTTGTTCATGATAGTAATTTAATACAAAAATTAATTATCATATGGACTTATTTCCTGCGCCCACTCCATATAAGCTATCACTTAAAAAAGGGCTTCATTTTTGATATTTTATGATGAAAATTAATTCATATTAAACAAAAAGAAAAAATAAATGGTAGGCAAAGCAAGATGTTATGTGGGCCTAATTGGTCGAAGGACACGTTCACTGAGAATCTCTCTATTTTTCAAATGGAATCAATAATTGGCTTTTTGGTCATTACTCATAAACTGTTGCAGATAAACGTATAAAAATTGGAACGCATATTCTGCGGACGGCGCTGTAACAGCTTTACAAAAATGTAAAAATTGACCACGCCTACCCAACATTGCAGTGTATCAAAATTCAATTGTTTTTTCAATACCTTCGAAAGGGATAGAAACAAGCTGCGAAAAGTTCACAATGTATATAACTTTTTGGCCAGCCTCAAATTTGGAATGCACCTAAAGATGTCTGCCTGTTCGTCTGTCCATCCTTCTATCTGCGTAATAGTGTGGTATTTGTGGTAAATATTCACCCGTTAGCGAATCGCTCACAAATTCGCAAAAGAATTCGTAGGGACCTAAACTTTTCACAGGACACGCCCACAACCCCCACACGCCTATGCGACTAAAACGTTTATTTTGAAAACAGTACACAGCAGCTGCGCTTATTCCATATTATGGAGCATGAAAGTATAGTTCTTTCCTGCTTCTGTCTTTTTCGGGATAACGTTAATGGGTATAAAAGATTCGGTCACGACCGAATATAATTTTCTTACTTGTTTCATCTACAAAGGCAAAGGTAATAAGTGTTGAGTTAACGAATCGCAAGCAATCGTCACATACACTACGGTCTTGTTTACTACTCTCCCTTCTCTTTATTTTGTGATGCAAATACTTATATTTTGATATAAAACAGCTATACCTTTTCCAAGGAAATCGCGTCCAGGGATTTTTTTTAACTTAAATCAAGACACGCTGCAGACTTTATATTGTTAAGTCTTGTGAACCATTGGAACATTTTTTCCGAACATATATATAAGTGGCTACCTTTTGAAAATTCTCATCATTTTTTGATCAAAGATAAGAGAGAAGGTCTTGCCTAGTGGTTGGA